CAAAATTTAAGGATGAACAAATTTATTAAACGACAACTGCCTTACCTGACCACCTCAGTGAAGTTCGACCAAACCCCTGAAAAATCAAGACATTGAAAATTTCATATCTTATGTTGACTGAGAACAACATCTGTAGTTAGAATCTTAGAAATTTTTGAGAGTGCGGAATTTATACCTCGTTTGACGTGAATAGATTCATTTTGATTAGATCAGAAAGAAAATTAGTTGAAATACACATAAGTTGATCTGGACGTACTTGACCATTAACTAAAAAAAAAAAAAAAGAGTATGCAAAACTGGTACAGGTGAGGGATATAATGTCAGTTCAATAACAATATAGGTAAAGTTTAAGTGAGTTCTAATCTGTTTTTTTTTTTCAGTGTTAGACCTTTTTAGAGTCACTGCCATGGATTTAAGCCCTGAGATGCCCTCTAAGATTGGTTTTCCTGTGCATACTGTGGGAGTCGAGAGAGGAGAGATCATCAACGAAATAATTACAACACAATCGGATACAGGTAGGGTTGAAGATCTACATGGGCCCCTATAGCCATATACCATTTTAAAGGTGATCTTCTAGGTTGCATACGTGTGGAAATGGTTTGGCCAGAAAATCTAGTACGTATCCTGGAACAAGACTTTGTGTATGCGTGTGTTCACAAGGAAACAAAGGGTTACTGGGTCAATGNATTGAAAATTTCATATCTTATGTTGACTGAGAACAACATCTGTAGTTAGAATCTTAGAAATTTTTGAGAGTGCGGAATTTATACCTCGTTTGACGTGAATAGATTCATTTTGATTAGATCAGAAAGAAAATTAGTTGAAATACACATAAGTTGATCTGGACGTACTTGACCATTAACTAAAAAAAAAAAAAAAGAGTATGTAAAACTGGTACAGGTGAAGGATATAATGTCAGTTCAATAACAATATAGGTAAAGTTTAAGTGAGTTCTAATCTGTTTTTTTTTTTCAGTGTGTTAGACCTTTTTAGAGTCACGGCCATGGATTTAAGCCCNACACCGAATAAGCCACTGTTTTTGTGCTAAATCTCATATGGAAAGCTTAGATTTTGTGAACAAAAAGTAGTACATCGAACTCTTTTGCAAGTAAGTTAGATAAATTTTGGGTGATGCATAACAATTAGCCCGCATCAAGGGCTTCACATCTGAGGCTCAAATTTCAGTCGAAAAAGTATTGTTAGAAATTCCACAAAGTAGATGCTTCTTTTTGATTGATGAACCAGTGGTTGATGGTGCAATTAATATTTCAAAGTGGTTTTAAATAACCTCTATTTAATAATAAAAAATGCCGGTCTTCTCCAGAATAGACAGAGACAACATAAGTCAACCGATAAAAATCAAAATTGTCATAATATAACAGCCCAGAAATACGNCCAGAAAATCTAGTACGTATCCTGGAACAAGACTTTGTGTATGCGTGTGTTCACAAGAAACAAAGGGTTAACTGGGTCAATGCTCTCTCTCTCTCTCTCTCTCACTCACTTTTACCCCTTTTGGGTTGGTAGGGTTAGAATCGTTCTCTGGAGTCTGGAGTGGTCAAGCTTCTATTGAAGCACTCACATTCAGCCAGCATAACCCCATCTTTGAAACTTACTGTCCATTTTATCAAGGTCAAGAAGAAACAACAGATGAAATGGAATGGGATTGACCCAAATTTTACTTGAGGCCATGTGTCTTAGGTTTGAAAACTTCAACATAAATCTAGTCTTCTTTTTTTTTTTTTGATCAGACCACATAAATCTAGTCAAACCATGTATATTGTTTTTGCAATATTACATTTTGGTACTGTCGCATGTTCATATGAAAAACTCTATTAAGTAATTAATTTATTTGTCAACGGGTCGGATTGTTATCTTACCCTCCGTGGATATCCCATTTTCATCCCTACTTGGATACTATACCTTTTTCATTCAACAACAAAATGAGAAACACACACCTTTTTCATTCAATTCTATTTACTGTAAAAACTATTTTTTCACAATAAGATAGAATGTTATTGGAGTTGCATTTAAAACTCACTCTCTATTTTAAAATTTTCTTAAAGAAACTATCTGTTCTTTGAAACTATGCTATCTGAAATAAAAAATACTATTGAAGATGCTCTTATGGTGTTTTCAATTAATTCGAGCAACCTCTAGACCTGCTAGTGTCTGTGGAGCAAAAAGAAAAAATATTATTTAGACATAATTTGAAAAGTTAAACTAAGAATTTAATTAATTATAGTTATTGGATTAAGAGTGAACTCTTAATAATATTGAAACTTGCAACTAATCTAATGATTATATTGAATTAGATCCCTAAATTAAATTTCGATGACATTACTCTGAGAAGAAATTAAAAATGATGCTGCTCGCTCCTCCTCCATGAAAGAAGAAGAGAAACTGGCCAAGATTTGCTTCACATAATATTCGGAACATTCCTTCTAGGAAAAAATAAATTAAGAAGTAGGGCATGCGATAATGGATCAATTCACTCAACAAGTTCCGTTCGGATTAGACTAGGATGAATGGGATTGGTCTAACCTCTCGCTCGGATGTAGACTTTCGTTGACGACAGATGTCCAATGCCACCTTTTTGTGGATAGTTACGCCCGAAATTGAATAAATTGTGATATAACACCGAATAAGCCACTGTTTTTGTGCTAAATCTCATATGGAAAGCTTAGATTTTGTGAACAAAAAGTAGTACATCGAACTCTTTTGCAAGTAAGTTAGATAAATTTTGGGTGATGCATAACAATTAGCCCGCATCAAGGGCTTCACATCTGAGGCTCAAATTTCAGTCGAAAAAGTATTGTTAGAAATTCCACAAAGTAGATGCTTCTTTTTGATTGATGAACCAGTGGTTGATGGTGCAATTAATATTTCGAAGTGGTTTTAAATAACCTCTATTTAATAATAAAAAATGTCGGTCTTCTCCAGAATAGACAGAGACAACATAAGTCAACCGATAAAAATCAAAATTGTCATAATATAACAGCCCAGAAATACGATATAAATGATATTAAATTCATTTATTCTTATACCTTTTAATCGATTTTAAGTCTAAGGTCAAGTTCAAATTCAAAACAAAAAAGTATTGTTAGAAATTCTACAAAGTTGATGCTTCTTTGAGATGGAGAAACCTGTGGTTGGTGGTGAAATTAATATTTCAGTGTGGTTTCATATAATCTTTGTTTAATATTAAACCTAAAATTATGTGAAACAAATGTATATTGCTTGATGTATTGGCTTGGCTTGTCTGGTTTCAATGTACAGTATTATTAGCATTCTTTAGAACCCGTCTTTTCTCCATTTGGGGAAGGTGAATATGTGGCATGAGCCTGCAGCTCACTTGTCCATTGAGATATATTCCCCTCTTTGACCGAAAATACTTGAGTAGTTTTAGATCCTAAACTTTCAGTATAATACGGGCAAGTAACCAATGGACATTTGGACTAATGATACATTTTACCTCGTTAAGATTTTACTTTTTTGAGATCAAGAGTTCAAATCTCTTTGTTAATAAAAGCGTGGTTAATTGGTAGGACAAACCCTCACTGGATCCAAAAAAGCGTAGGTAAATGTGTCTCTATTCGCCGAGGACATGTTAGAGATTTCCCCCATTATCAAAAAAAAAAAAAAGGTAATGGAAATGCTATTTAGACTTAAAATGTGGATTTCAAATACAAACTTGATCAGGCACAACTATTGAATGAGTAGTGACTCTCAATAAATGTTAAGACCCAGAGTGAAATCAATTATAGTAATTGATTAAGTTAACTCTCAAATGGAAAGTGGGGATGGCTTTAACTTCGTGATCCTAAATTAATAATGTTCTCAAATGCTTATAAATTAGGAAAATAGTATTTTTATTTAATTTGGGGAGCTAATCCCTTATAGTTGTTAGATAAAAAATGAATCTAATCTAATATTAAAACATACTTGATCTAATGACCACAATTCAAGGATCATTTGCTATTGAAACAAAACCTTCCGTCCAAAAGGAACCTTGTTAATGTCAATAAGCCTGGCTAGATAGGGGATAACATTCTTCTTCTCAACTCTTCCATTGTTTTGTCTTTGTGACCCAATTCTACTTTGCTCTTTTGTCATGCTGTATTTTATTATATGAAAACTTAGTTTTGGTTCACTCAAAATAAGTGGAACCAACTTTTATTAATCTAATCATGGTGTTATTAATCACTCAAAATTATAATGTTCAATGGTAAATTTGACTTTGAACTTTACAGTATATCGAACTCACAAAATAAAGAGTAATATGAAATTATAATTTTTTATTAGGATATAATCATATTTTTTAACGGTTATATTAACAGATATCAATGAAAAGAAATTATGTGTTACATGTGCACAAACGTCATGAGATATATGAATAATATTTTAAATGTGAAGGGATCTAAATGATTAAGTGACAAGCATGAGAGAATCTAAGTATAATTTATCAATTTAGTTTTAGGCGCACATTAATACAAATTTTTATCTTTAAGGATAAAAATTAAAATTTTTAATCTTTAAAGATACAATTTAAAATTTCAACTATCTTTGGGAATACAATTTATAACTAACCGTACTTTGCAATATCAAGTTCTAGATGAATAGGATATCCAATGAATCATCTGTGACACGTCATATAGTAGAGTCTATAATCAACACTCAAAATCAGCATCAAATTTATTATGGACGGTCAGGATGACACATAAGAGGACAATGAATATCCTAAAACGATAGAGTCTGATACAAGCTATCATTTTCTCCATTTTGAAATTAAAAAAAAAAAAAAAGATTGTAAGAAGATAAGCTTGTTTAATTATCCAATTTGCAATATCATAATAATAATAGGGAGGCGTGTCTGGATAAAGATAAGGCTTCGTCTTCTCCGTATTATTCCTTTTTCCCTCATCTTCTGATCACCCCTCTCCCTCTCTAAACACTCTCTCCTCTCTCTCTCTCTCTCTCTCTCTCTATCTCTCTCTCTATCTCTATCTCTATCTCTATCTCTCTCTATAAATACTCGAATCGTTGTTTGTATAGGTCCCTTTGCTCATCTGTCATAGAGAGCAATTTGGAGAGACTATGTCGATTGCTTTAGAGAGTAATGGGATCCAACGGTCTGGATCTCATAAAGTGTCGTGTATTGCGATCTACGACTCGCACGAATCGGGTAGGTTTTCTACTGCAGATGGGCGATTTGAGGCGACGAAGAATTTGGTGGAGGACAGACATGATGCGGTGGTTGAGAGCTCGTCATCTTCATCGTCGATTGGGAGGAATAGTGATGTCTCGTTGGACGGAGATCCGAATTCCGGCGATGGCGAGGAGGTTCAGAGCGAGTTTAAAGGGCCATTGGATAGTTTGGATGCCTTGGAGGAAGTTTTGCCTATCAAGTACGTGATTTTTCTCTGCCTGTCTGGTGTGTGTGGCTGAATATGAGTGTTGTTTTAATTCGTATTTGATGCTCCTTTTTTATGATGTACTTTGTAGCACGATGATCATGCTAATTTGTGTGCAGCTTAGGTTTTTTAATGTTAATTTTGGTAAAAAAAAATAGTCTTATTTGATGTTTTGTTAAGGAAAACTTTGTTTGATGAAGTAGAAAGGATGATCTTTCACACCTTATCGGCCAATAAGAAGAGTTTTAACTCTTAGTTCAACCCTTCCCCTCCCTTGTAAATGTGTAGCAGTACTTTTGCTCCTGTCTCATAAACACTAGTCTGATCCCTACCTTTTCGATGAGAAACTAACGCTCTCTTGCTACTGTGCCTTGAAGACACTGGTAAAATGTGATTTTTGAATTTTTTGCTATTTTGTTTTCTTATCCTGTATGTATGGAATGATTTTTTATGATCTTATCAGCTGTATACTTTTAAGGAGTTTGGTTTATGAGAAAAGGTAATGAAAAGGAAAGAAGTTTTATTAATTAGCTTAAGTGTGGTCTGCACCCTAAAGCCACACACATTCCTCACGATACTTCTCACTTCTTGCTGCCTTTCTTTAGACTAAATTAGCAAAAGTGTGAAAACAGTGGTGCAGTGGCGGGAGCCTAGTACGTTGGGTCACCCCTTTAGCAAAGTAATAAAAATGATATGTCCTCTTTTGATCATATTATTTGATTTGACCCATAATAAACATAAGCTCCGCTCAACTTTGGCTAGGTTTGGGTGAGTTCATTACAAATCTAATTTTCCGTCTATGTAAAAATTAAAAGCTTACCATTTGAAGTGCCTAAGAGACATTTCTTATGCATGTGAACTAGTTTAAATGGGTGGCATTGGTGTGTCATTCAATTTCACGGGCTGTTAAAAAACCCAGTTTCCTGAAATATATATTTTTCCAAATTGATATAAAATTGGTAACAAATGCTCATTAATCGGTTCCTTCTCTTCTATTGTGTTAGGATTGCAAAAATTTGAAAGGATAACCGCTGTAGTTATTGTACTTTTTTTTAAGTATGAGTATACTTTTTTTGGAAAAACTTATCCTGGGTATTTAGGTGGAAATTTGTTGGTTATTTGTTCATTAAAGAAAGAAGTGCATAACTTTAAACAATTATGAATGAATGGGCAAGATAAATCGTATCTAATTGCCCGAGCTTGTAGAGCAATGCTTCTTGCANTGGGTATTTAGGTGGAAATTTGTTGGTTATTTGTTCATTAAAGAAAGAAGTGCATAAACTTTAAACAATTATGAATGAATGGGCAAGATAAATCGTATCTAATTGCCCAAGCTTGTAGAGCAATGCTTCTTGCTNTATTTGTTCATTAAAGAAAGAAGTGCATAACTTTAAACAATTATGAATGAATGGGCAAGATAAATCGTATCTAATTGCCCGAGCTTGTAGAGCAATGCTTCTTGCAGCCCCTCAAGAAGCTTGTGTTGGAGTTAGGTCACTTTATGACATAGGTACAGAATCATCATTTTATACCAACCATAAATATAACAGTCAGTATATAATATAGTTCTGATTAAGTATAAACTATCTACTGCTAGAATCTATATATGGCTTCCCTATCTTTTATGTTGTTTTTTTACCCGTCTCTAAATTTTTAGCATGTGCTGTTTCACTTATTTTAGGAGAGGCATATCAAAGTTCTATTGTGGCAAATCAAAGTCTTTCGCGAGTCTTGCTGATGCTGCATCTTGTTCCACCATCAAAGATATTGNTTCACTTATTTTAGGAGAGGCATATCAAAGTTCTATTGTGGCAAATCAAAGTCTTTCACGAGTCTTGCTGATGCTGCATCTTGTTCCACCATCAAAGATATTACTAAACCAGTAAATGCTTACTCTAGAAAACGCAAGGACTTGCTAGCTTACAGTAATTTCTGGGACAAGAATCGTAATCACCTTTCTAGAAGTAATACTGGTGGGATATCAAAGAGGCCTCTCAACTCTAGCAGAAGTACATTGGCTCTTGCAGTGACCATGAGCAGCTCTGAGAGCATTAATAATGGCGAAAGCTCCGACTCAAACTCATCATCTCCCAATCTGTGTCTTCCTCCTCTGCCCCCACACTGTAGAAGATCACCCGACAAAGAATCATCTTCATCACCTCTTACACAGAATCTCTATCCATGGCGATCTTTCTCTCTGTCTGATCTGCAATGCGCTGCCACTGCAACTTCCAGTATCACTGGCTTAGTGATTAATAGCCGAGTCAAGGAGGACAAACTAAATTGACATCTAGATTTATTTTTTGTAAAATTGCCCTATGAATCCACAATTGGATTAATGTTCAAGGGTGTGGTGATGCAAAATCTAATTTTGTGTGGATTTTCATGGTGGTGGGGCTTTATAAAGAGTTTCCTAGTTTGATCTTGTGTTTCTGCATATTGTAGTACTTGTTTTCAATGTACCACACTCCGGCAATTTTAGAAAATAATGTCTGCAGTGTGTTGTCCATTTTTTTCTTACTTGCCCAGTGTTATAAAATGTGTTGAATGCTTCTCTTGTATAAATCCAAGAAGATTCAATCTTGTTTTATCCTCCTTTCATATCAGCTTGTATTGTCTTTTACGAAATCAATTTCTTTCGAACAAGGCAAATGGTTCACTAGAGACATTGAGTGGCTATATCACTTCCATCCTCTTCAGCATTTCTTGCTGCCTTTATATTCCTCACTGGGTCAGCTGAGCCCTGGGTGCCTGTTGGGTCCTGGTTCCCCTCGCTTTACTACTGTGAGGTCCCTTTGGTGACTACCAGCTTCTATACTTAGAACCAAATTGTTAGTATAGCGGGTTGAGAGATTGGTTTTTGTCCAACACCTGGAAGCAGCTTCTAAGAAAATCACAGAGGCTGCAGGCAAATTCTGTTGCTTTTGAAAGAAATTAGGAAACAATTTGTTTGCATTTAGCAACTAGCTGGCCGAGAAAAGTTCAGCAAGTGTTTATCTTAGAACATCTCTAGAGATATGACACTGTACCTTTTGTTTGGGAAAAGCTTGGTCAAGTTCTTAAGATTGTTGTAGGCCTTGGTAGTTGCTCTTTCTTAAGCAAATCTTGGTGCTGTCTTGGCTCTTGAGCACTTTTCTTGCTTCGGCTTAGAAGCCGTCCCTCTAGTTGTGTGCATTCCCCTGCTGAAGTAGCAAAGAAATTCATAGGGGTGCCATCTATGGTATGCATTATCCGAGAGACCAGAGTTGGTCTCTCATTTAATCTCCACTTCCATCAGAACCCCATAGTGTCCTTATACCTAGTAAAATATTATAGGAAATTACAGGATAAAATGTGTAATTACAAATTCTACTGGGGCAGACAAAAATGGATTGAGCTCAAATGTTGGATCAAGTGCCTCAATTAATTTGAAGATGCGCTCAAATTCCTGTCGAGTCCCATGCCGCCATGTTGGGCAGTACTCTTTTCGACATAGGAAAGTACGCAGAATTTTGTACAATGATAATCAATAGGATCACGACGACATTTAACGTTACTTTGTAATGAACTGTCAAAACTTTAAATTAAACTTCAACTGTAGATAGATTTCGGTGCCCCAATTAATTTGAAGATGTGCTCAACTTCCTGTCGAGTCCCATGCTGCCACGTTGGGCAGTCTCTCTTTTCCACATAGGAAAGTATGCAGAATTCTGTACAATGATAATCAATAGGATCACGACAACATTTACTGTAATGAACTGTCGAAACTTCAAATTAAACATCAACTGTAAAACATCAACTATAGATAGATTTCCATGGCGTCATCGAAAGATTCCAAATAATTGTGCTTTTGTTTGANCTGTCGAAACTTCAAATTAAACATCAACTGTAAAACATCAACTATAGATAGATTTCCGTGGTGTCGTCGAAAGATTCCAAATAATTGTGCTTTTGTTTGTAATAAAAGCAGACCGAAAAACGACACTAGGTAATTGGTATTCATAACCAACTTTTAATCAAGCATCAACGGTAAGATTCATATACCGGTATATTTCAAACCTTGTCTAGACAGGGTTTTATTGTAAACAACATCCGACAGCATAACAACACTTACATTAAGTATCATCGTCTTTGAGTTAGCAATTACATAGATAAATCTGAAAAAAAATTGGGGTACATTAATTTTACATTATTTTTCACTGGAACTCCAAATGATCTATATTAATTTGCAGCGATGAGCCTAGGGCCATAGTCCTTATCTACTCCAAGGCACAACAGTGTGATGCCTTGACCTTGTCTATTGGAGGTTCAAATGATGAAATCAATCACTGAAGTAAGAAGAAATCAAATTTGAAGCTTGGTTGGTTTTTAATTGGTGAAAAGCTGATTACATGAGTTTCTTTGATGTTTAGAAAATGGAAGATCACATCACATATCCAAAACAAAATTTGTCTCTTGGTTCAGGTTGGAAGGAAAAGGGATTTTGAACGAAAATAAAGCGTTACAACTTTTGGCACAAGAATCCAAGCTATGTAATGGTAAATGGACTGACAATTTAGGTAGCTAGCTCTTGGATTTCTTCGCCCTTCGTCATGTTGGACATCTGTGAAGTTATTCCAGAGCCATATACTTAGAATGAGTCCAGTGGGGATTGCCATAATCCCATTCAAAAACATTAATTACTACCTACTAAAGATAATATCGCTCTTAAAATGATTCCAAAATCATAATTGCACTGCACTCAATAAGTAAAACATTGATAAGAACAACTTCATAAGTTTTTCTCACCCTCAGTTTACTAGTGTGTTGAACTGCCTATAAATTGGCTGGGGCTGAAGAGTTGATTGCAGGACGAGATGAATGCTTAAAAATCGATCCTTCCAGAGAAGAGTTGCATTCAGGTTTGTTTTTACTTGTTGCACACACTTGAATTTTCAGTTTATGTTTTACTTTCATGGTGATCAGATGGACTTGCAATCTACAAACTTAACACAAGGCTGCAAAGATTGGCTGAAGTAAATGGGGGGGCCTCCATTTCCTTTCAGCTCCATGGATGCTTTTTGACTGTTTTCTTGCAGCCAACTTTTTAAGCTAAGGATCTACATACCAAACCATGATATTGTCATTCCTATATCGATTTGATTGGCTTGCTTTAGCAAATTCAGAGGTTTGATTTCTGTTCCCTATTTTTGGGCCCATCCCTGTAATAGTGGTGAGAACTCATGCATGCAAAGCCATGCTGCTAAAATGAAAGGTAGAGCAGAAGTTATTAAAGGTTTTGGAACTCATGGCATATATGGTTTTTTCATGCAAAGTGATTCACTGATTTGGATATGTAGCCACCACTCTTATTTCCTACTCCTTTTTTGCTATCTAGGTTCTTGAGATTTCCCGGTGATTTTCGTGATCTGAATTGTGTAAGCAGGTTTTGATATCAATTGGCAGTCTCTCTACATTCAGAGCAGTTATGCTTCTTGTTAGGGCTTCTTCATCTCTGTTCATTTCACCAGAGGATTTCAATCTTTTTCATGCAATGGACAGGGAGCTTTACACCCTCCTTATAACCGATCTTTTGCGTGATCCTTTAGACTCTATGCAGATCATGGCTCTTTGGCTCTGGTTGGAGAGACAAGGCAACAGAAACAATGTCATAAAAAGGATTTTGTCCTTACCCCATGTTTTCATAAATGAACTTGCAGATGAGGCTGTAACATGCCTCAAGTGCATTAGTAACACTCAGTTTCTGCTCTCATCCAAACACAAAGAGATTCCACTGACAAAAAGCCTCATGAAAAAACAGATTTCTCTCCAATATTTCCATGAAAATCAGCTCATTGTAATGAGTGAGGTGGCCAAAATTGTAACTGAAGTTTGCATGAAGGCTTTTACAGACATCTTGCAAGAAGCCATGAGGAAAAATGCTGCACAAAACTCGGCCGAAAGCCAGATGATGATGTCACCTGCTGTTGACCAGTCCTTGATTTATGGCTTTTCTCAGTTGGCAGTCGGAGTTGATATCAGCCAGGGAAGAACCCATTTTAATGAAGTTCCACCGGATGACAGGACCATGTTCGTTACGTTTTCTAAAGGCTATCCGGTAGCTGAATGGGCAGTCAGGGATTTCTTCACTAGGATGTTTGGCGACTGCATTGAGTCTGTCCACATGCAGGAGGTGAAGCCTGAGGAGCAATCACTCTATGCTCGAATCGTGTTCTATACTCCTTCCATTATAGAACTGGTTCTCGATGGGATGATAAAAGCAAAGTTTACCATCAATGGGAAGCACGTTTGGATGCGCAAATTTGTGCCAAAACACTCGACCTCCTCGCCCCTGCTACTGCTGCCGGAGGATTTGCCAGGCAGTGTCTAGTTCTTATCTGTGTGTTTATGTTTTTCTCTACTTGGTTGTGTACTCTTGTTTTCAATATGCAATGTATGAAAGTATGCAGAAGGGTATTGTAGTAAAGCTTTCAGTGTACAGCCTTGTTTTTCACTTTGCATCCAGTAAAAGTCCACCGATGGTGATGGACACTCTCTAGTAAAGCAACTTTTTAAAACTGGAAAATGAAATTAAGGTTGTATATAACCCAGAGAGAGAGAGAGGGTATGCTGCCTCAAGGATAATTTGCATTTGAGTTGTAATTTTTAAGTTCCATTTGGGTTGTGTAGGATTACTCAACATAAATTCAGTGGACATAAGGTGGTTGGAATAAGGTCAATTTCTTTTGCTACTTTTGCCATAAAGAGCATTCTTTTGGCACAACTCTCTTTAACTCTATACCATTGTAACGTTTTGGACCTACATTGTATAATATTGTCCGTTTTAGATTAGACACACGGCTTTAAAACGCATTGTACAATGAAGGTTCAAATCTCATACTTATGTACTATTTTACATCCACATCAAAAGTCGATGTAGGATTAAGTCATCAGAATCCTTTCCCCTTAAATACAAACGTTCTCGTTTGAGCCCTACCTCAGACTTGGTGATGTAAACTTCCGGGGGATTACTCCCACTACACTAACTGTCACCGTTCCAAGCCATCGCCCCGTCAAACCAAGGTGCACCTAGGGATGCACAACCTTAGGTGACCTCCACACCACAAAGGTCAATGGCTCTAATACTAATTATAACACTTTAGACTTGTATTATACAATATTGTCCGCTTTAAGTTAAACTTGCACGACTTTAAAACATGTTTATACAAAAAAAGTCCAAAACTTACACTTTTACACTACTTCACATCCACGTCACTAATCAATGTCTGATGATCAGGGACAATATGTAAACTTAGATGTCCTAAGTTCGAATTTTGGTAACCCCTTAAGTCAAGTCATGAGAGATTTATTTTTCATGAATATTTCAGTCCCGGCATATATAACATGTCTTTGATCGAAACGAAGAGAGGATTANTCTTTGTGTCCTTTCTTCGTCTTTCTGCAACCCCCTGTTCTTTTGCCTGGTTTCTTCTTTTCCCTAAGTCACCATCTTTGAGTTGATTATTGTTGTGGTCTTTTGGTCTTATTGAGGTTCCCTCTATCATTTTCGACTGGTTCTTCACTTTTTCTTTCCTTGTCCATTTTTCCCTGTCTGAGTTAGGGTTTTTCCCTAGTTTGTTTCTTGATCTCTGTTTCTTTTCCTCTGACATGGAGATTGATACTGAAATTCACTCACATATCCATCCTCCCCCTCGTATATCTCTTTTCTCAAATCCTTCCACCTCAAAGAATGTTGAAAGAATTTGTCTTGTTGGGTGTTTTGACATAGATATTATTCTTAATAAACAAGGGGTGAGTAACGTCCTACAGAGTTCCTGGAAAACGGAGAAAGGCTTCTCTATAACATACTGGGAGAAAAATACTTATATATTTATGTTCAAAGATGAAAGGGGCAAGGATAGGATTCTGGAGGAAGGTCCCTAGTCTGTGATGGGAGCTTTTCTGGTCCTTAAGACATACCAACCTCAAAGTATTATTGGCGACTTTGAATTACATTATACAGAGTTTTGGGTGCAGATCAGATGGTTGCCTTTGGATCTGATGACTAAGAACAACTCATGGTGGATAGGGAAGGTTATTGGGGAGCCTACGCAACTAGAGGAATTTGATGATGTGATCCAATTCAAGCGTAACTATTTAAGGGTTAAGTGTAGAATTAATCTCAAGGACCCATTGAAAAAAGGATTCTTTTTGGCCCGGGACACACAGGATAATATTTGGATCTCTCTAAAGTATGAGAGATTGTATGATTTCTGCTACATGTGCGGAAAAATTGGTCATGCTTAGAGTAAATGTAGGGAGAGGTTTCACTTGGGGAACAAGAGTCAATTTGGTCTTGATCTGAGAGCCCAGAGCGGTGCCTCCTCAAGTTTTTTCAGGGAAACTTGGTCCCTTTTTGGCACGCGAAGATCTGGGTAAAAAGGAAAAACTCAAGGATAAACTGCATATGACCGAGGAAGAAGATGTTTCCCCGGCGGGTGCTCATTCATGAGCTAGCAAGGAACCTGACAAAGTTAGACCTGATTCTGGTGCAAAGCGTTCTAAGGAACCTCCTAAATCACCAGGTGATGGACATATTGGGGGTATGCAGCAAGCATCAAGTGGTCCCGGTCTAAATATTCTGCCCCTTGCTGTTGTGCCTTTTTCTGGCGGGGATCAGGGTGGGACCTAAGCTCTTTACAATCAGCCTCGAATGAGGCTTCGGGTATGTGGGTTGCTATGAAAAAAAGGGTCATATTATGTCTTTGAGTCATCCGACTGTATAGAAGCCCATGGTTCCAGGGATAGGGTTATCCATATTAATTCGGATAATTGGAGTAAGACAATTGGAGAGGGTATGGAGGCACATTTATAAAATATGTCTTTGAAGAAAAAATCCCCTCATGTTTATGGGGAGACGGAAGTCCAGTCACAGGGTCATAAAAGGAATAAATTGTCGATGAACCCGAGTCCACAGATGTCTCTCCCTTCTCCTACTCCAATAAGGAATCACTTGGCCCTTGAATTCCTGATCCAAGACCAAGGGGGTAAAAGATCCCAAAAAATCCAATCCCAACATGTCAAAAGGAGGACTAAAAGAAGGTTACCACAGAGCACCAATTCTGATCCTTTCTATGACCACATGGAAAAGGCGGAGAACCAGATGCAAACAAGGCAGGATGAACAGATGGAGGGCCATGGCGAAGGAAGGGGGGAAACAATCTTAATCGATGTATGTCCCATTGGTTTTCCCAACCTTCTTATGATATGTCAGAAGGGGAACACTCAATTTGTCAACCAGAAAAGGTGGTGGTGGCTAACCTTCAACAACCACAAGACCCATGTTAATCCTTTTTAGGAACTGTCAAGGAGTGGGGTGACCCCAAACAGTTCGCAATTTAAGAGGGTTAATTGATACTCATCGCCCCTCAATTGTTTTTCTTATGGAGACTAAAAATAAGTCCCCTAAGTTAGAACGATTGAGAAGATCTGTACATTATCATTTTGGGGAGTACGTGGATCCTATGGGACTTTCAAGAGGGTTATCTTTATGGTGGAGAGATGATGTTTATTCTTCATGTGGATGAGCAGAATAGAAAATTTTTCAATGTTAGTTGTTATTCCAATCAGCAAGCTTTGTCCTGAAAATACACCTTTATCTATGGGGATCCCAAGGTGGATAGGTGCCAAAGGATTTGGGCTTGTCTTAAAAACATGACTAGGGTGGTTGATGGGCCGTGGATTGTTGTGGGTGAGTTTAATGTTATTGGTTCTATGTCTGAAAGGAAGGGGTACTGTTGCCTGCTTGCACCGGGTCGAGGAGATGCAGACTCTTATATCAGATTGTTGGTTGGTTGAGTTGAATTTTAATGGGCCCAGATTTACTTGGTCTAATAAATCGGCCAGGTGCTGCAAATGTCCAAGAATGTCTTGACCGAGTGTTGGTTAATTCTGAGTGGTGTGTATTTTATCCCTCAACGCAGGTGGTTCATGAGGTCAGGTTGGGCTCTGATTATTGCCCTATTGTGATTGAGTTTGGGAATTTTGATAAGAAAAGACCCTTCTACTTCAAGTTTGAGAATATGTGATTGGAGGACCCTGTTTGCGAGGAGGTGGTTAAGTATACATGGATNAATGATTAAATTTTTAGTTAAGTTTTTTATTAAGCATGTTACTGTTTGATATTACAATTTTTTTGTTGAGCATGTTATTGTTTGATATTATTATTTTTTTGTTAATCATATTACTGTTTAATGTTTCTATATATATATAATAGAAAAATAATTTTAACGCTAGCACAATTTCTAAGTTAGGAGTTGTTAATGTTAATACAATTCCTAATTTAAGAGTTGTTAGTTTTTTTAAACATGTTTTGATTAAATATAATTATTAAGGATATTTTGGACAATGGAGATTAAAATGAATTTACTCCCTGGACTTGAGTTTAAATAAGTCTACAAAAAGGTTTCGGCCTCCAAAAAACCCATAATATAAAATATATTAGGTTTCAAATAAACTCATCCAACAGCTATCAACATCCCTCTCAAAACCATTCACATTGCACCGTGTCTTTAGACATGAGTTATCCGTAGTATATATATATTTAAGAGGATCTTAGTCTCATTACTAGTGTACGAAGGGCATAACTTTTTTTCAAGAGGAGATTAACAAAATTATATAGGGAGAATTACATCTAGACTTCTTGAGATTTATCAATTAATTACTTAGATATTTAAAATATTACACACAGAGCCTTAAATTTTATACACAGGTTAATGTATGTTAGTAAATTATATTTAGATCATCTAAAGTTTGTAAACATGTAATATTTAGACCTCTTAAGCTTATAGTATTACACTTAGATCATTTATTAGTTATAAAACTAACAAAATCTATTAATAGCATATGTATGTTGCAGTCTCTTTCCCTATGAGAGCTCGTCACCCTTGCTAGGGTTTCTTCTGGGGTCTTCCTCATCATCCTACATTTAATGATCATTTCTTCAGGTTGTTTTAGCTTCCGATGCACACCAATTCAATGTACCCAGTTCGCACAGGTATTGGGATTTTCCCCATGGCCATATTCCTTGAATGTACATTCGATTGATCTACTATAGGGTATTTTGTTTCTCTTTGTTTATCTCTTCACGTTCCTCTTCTCTGTCTTTTTTAGTGGTCTCTGTGTCCTTTCTTCGTCTTTCTGCAACCACCTGTTCTTTTGCCTGGTTTCTTCTCTTTCCCTAAGTCACCATCTTTGAGTTGATTATTGTTGTGGTCTTTTGGTCTTATTGAGGTTCCCTCTATCATTTTCGACTGGTTCTTCACTTTTTCTTTCCTTGTCCATTTTTCNTGTCTTAAAAACATGACTAGGGTGGTTGATGGGCCGTGGATTGTTGTGGGTGAGTTTAATGTTATTGGTTCTATGTCTGAAAGGAAGGGGTACTGTTGCCTGCTTGCACCGGGTCGAGGAGATGCAGACTCTTATATCAGATTGTTGGTTGGTTGAGTTGAATTTTAATGGGCCCAGATTTACTTGGTCTAATAAATCGGCCAGGTGCTGCAAATGTCCAAGAATGTCTTGACCGAGTGTTGGTTAATTCTGAGTGGTGTGTATTTTATCCCTCAACGCAGGTGGTTCATGAGGTCAGGTTGGGCTCTGATTATTGCCCTATTGTGATTGAGTTTGGGAATTTTGATAAGAAAAGACCCTTCTACTTCAAGTTTGAGAATATGTGATTGGAGGACCCTGTTTGCGAGGAGGTGGTTAAGTATACATGGATTTCTTGTCTGCCCAGCCAAGCGAGTCAGAATGTCTACTTGAATCTGGAGCATTGTAGGGATAGTCTCCGAGCTTGGAGTAAGCAGAAGTTTGGTAATAATAGAAAAATTTTACAGGAGCTTTTGAAATAGTTGTGTTCGTGTCATTCCCTTGTCCCTAATGAGGTTAATTTGCGAAGAGAGGCTAATATATGTTCTCAAATTGATTCTCTCAGATGTAGAGAGGAGCACTATTGGAGGCAACGGTCCAGAATTAGTTGGCTAAAGGGTGGGGATCAAAATACAAGATTCTTCCATTTGTCTACTTTCCAATGACATAATCGGAATACTATTGTTAGACTCATGAACGATGCTAAGGATTGGATTGAAGGTGAGGAGACGTTGAATTCTCATATTACAGATTATTTTCAACATCTGTTTACCTCTGTTGGGGCTAAAGACTTCACTGAAGCTTTGCAGGTAATCAGTCCCAAGGTTTCTACAGCTATGAATCAAAGTTTACTTCACGAGCTCACGCTTGGGGAAGTTCGGTGTGCGGTCTTTGAGTTGGGGCTCTCAAGGCCCCTGGGCCTAATGGTTTCCCATGGATTTTTTATACTAATTTCTGGCACATTGTGGGGCAGGATGTCTTTCTTATGGTTAAAGAATTCCTTGAGAGGGGATCATATGTCTTTTTCCCTGAATCATACAAACATTGTTCTTATCCCGAAGGAAGCCTCACCTGAAACAATCTCTCAATTCTGTCCTATTGCTTTGTGTAACTTCGCTTACAAGGTCATTTCTAAAGTTCTAGCAAACAGGTTGAAGCCTCTGATAAGTTCTATTATTTCCCCCAACCAGGTAACCTTTATTCCTAATCGCCAAATTCAGGATAGTTTTTTTATTGCTAATGAAGTTTTTCACCATCTTAAAGGTAAGAGGAAGGGTACAGTGCCGGAGCTGGCTATTAAGATGGACATTAGTAAAGCCTATGACAGGGTTGAATGGGATTTTCTAGAAGCTACTATGTTATCCTTGGGGTTTGATAGGCCATGGGTGAATTTGATTATGCAATGTGTTTCTACTATGTCATTTACTATGCTGCTAAATGGGGCTCGCCAAGGTGAAGTTCAGCCGCAATGGGGCTTGCGACAGGGGGATCCTTTGTCCCCTTATCTTTTTATGTTTGTCACTGATGTGCTCTCGATTATGATCCTTAAAGGTATGGCGGCCAATATGTTGGTGGGATTGAAGATTAAGGGACGAAGCCCTGTTATTTCGCATCTCTTTTTTGCTGATGACTCTCTTTTCTTCCTCAAGGCTAAGGATAGTTGTGTCAGGGAATTCCTTAGGACTCTCCAATGCTATTGTGCTACTTCAGGTCAAAGTGCCAATTTACAGAAATCTGGTATCATTTTCTCGACAAATTCTTCTCATGAGCAAAGGAGCCGTCTATGCCTTTACGTGGGGATGCAGTCTCTTCCTCACCAGTATAAATATTTGGGCATTCCTACCATGTGGGGTCGTTCACGAAGTGAGGTGTTTGGGTGTATTTTGGAATGTGTTGCGAAAAAACTTCAAGGTTGGAAAGGATCATGTTTAACACAGTCGGGGAAGGAAGTCCTAATAAAGGCAATGATTCAAGCTATCCCTAACTATGCTATGTCTGTTGTTGTGTTTCCTAATAGCTTCTGTAACAAGCTTAATGGCTATGTCCGGCGTTTTTGGTGGAAAGGGTCTATGGAGGGTAATGGGATATCTTGGAAGAAGTGGGGGAAAATGACAGAATCCAAGAAGGCTGGGGGCATGGGATTCAAGGATTTCAAGTTATTTAATCAGGCTATCCTAGCTAAACAAGGCTGGAAACTCTTGTCTCAACCTGATTCCTTTTGGGCGAAGTTTGTGAAGGCCATCTATTATCCTAGTGGGGACTTTATGGATGCCAAGAGGGGTCATTGACCTTCCTGGGCATGGTGCAGCCTCCTTCATGGAAGAACTTTGCTTGATAAAGACATTATGTGGCAAATCGGGGTGGGAAATAGGTTAGCTTTTGGATTGATAAATGGGTCCCATTTTCTCCTTCCTTGATTGTTCAGTCTCCTAAACCCATTGACAATAGGATTAATAAGGTGGCTGATGTTATTATTTTGGATCCTTGTAGATTGGATATTTCTGGTTTGGTTGATGTTATTTCAAAGGCGGATTTATCTGCTATAAAATCTATTCCCCTTTCATTTAAAGGAAGAGCTGATAAACGTGTCTGGTGGCCAAGCAACAAGGGGCTCTATTCTGTCAAATCCAGGTATATGTTAGGCAACAAACAGTTGTTGCCTTCACTGGATTGCAGCTCTTCTATTTCTCCTCATCCTAAGCTCTGGCAGGTGGTCTGGAACATGAAGGTCTTACCAAAGGTGAGGCATTTTTGGTGGAGAGCTTGCCACAATATTCTTGCTACTAAGGAGAACCTTTTTAAACATAAGTGTGCTGCTTCTCCATGCTGCCCTATTTGTTTGTCTTTTCCTGAATCTATTGAACATCTTTTGTTTGAGTGCGAGTGGACCAAGAGGATCTGGTTTGGAATGAATCTGTTTGTTGGGAGGACTGATGACTCTTTCATGCCTGTGACACAACGGTCCTTAGAGTTGGTGGAGGATGTTGCAAGTAGATTGGTGTTTTTGGGGAAATTGGCAACGGTGGATTGGGTTATTTGGAAAGCCAGGAACCAGAAAGTGTTTTGTGATGAAGAGGTCAATGTTATAGCCTCCCTTTTGCGTACTCAGTGCTTGTGGAGGGACCAATTTTGTAAGTCTGCTACTGGGGATGTGAGGTCTAATGGTCTTGTGGATGCTAAGGTGCCTCCCCCCTCCCTTGGTTCTGATGTCCTCTTTTGTTGTGATGGTGCTTTCACTTCAACTTCTGGAAATGCTGCTTGTGGAGTGGTGGTGTGTGATGCAGGTGATGAGTTGATTTTTGGAGCAGCCAAGTCTTTTTTTGCTGGGTCTTCTTTGTCATCTGAAGCCGAAGATGTCCGCCAGGCTTGTATTCTTGTTGATGCTCTTTTGCTGATTAATGCTACTGTTATGAATGATTATCTGTCTATCATTAAATTAAGTGCTACGGAAGATGCTCCCCCATGAGAGATTAGGGTCATAATGGATTATACTAGATTTTTTGCAAGGTTACATAACTTTAGCTTTTTATACAAGCCACGAGCCTGTAATAAGGCNGCTTGTATTCTTGTTGATGCTCTTTTGCTGATTAATGCTACTGTTATGAATGATTATTTGTCTATCATTAAATTAAGTGCTACGGAAGATGCTCCCCCATGAGAGATTAGGGCCATAATGGATTATACTAGATTTTTTGCAAGGTTACATAACTTTAGCTTTTTATACAAGCCACGAGCCTGTAATAAGGCTGTTCATTGGGTGGCAGCTTCTAAGCTAACCAACTCTCTTCCTTTGGATTGGTTAAGCTCCCCCCTTTCCGAGCTTATAGCTTCTCTTTTGTCTGACTGTAATTTGAATTTTCCTATGTAATTAATGATATATTCTTTCTTTGATCAAAAAAAACAAAATCTATTAAATAACCAAATTACCCCAATAAAAATAAAAGATATTGTGTACATTATGGTTTGACCCCTTATTTAGTCTTTTTAGTTTTATTTTAATAGATAGTATAATTGTATACTAATTTATGANCTTATTTAGTCTTTTTAGTTTTATTTTAATAGATAGTATAATTGTATACTAATTTATGATTTTTTTTAAAAATAAATTTTTATTTTTGATTTTATTTCAATAAATGACATAATAGAACATGAATTTTTTGTTAAAAAATTAAATTATTTGATATTTTATCTTTGATTAAAGTTTTTTTTTTTATAAATATAATATTTTAAACTTGAATAATCTAAATATTACAATCCTAAAAACTTTAAGGGTCTGAGTATAATTTATTAATGGATGGACTATGGATATTGTCAGTATAAGTCTAAGTGGGGTGTTCAAATTTTCGATTGACCGCAATTTTCTATCATACTCGACCCTACCCTATTGAACAGTTAGCCGCAAAAATTAGGTAGAAATGCAGAAGAGTTTTGGTTTTTCGATTAAATCGGGTTAGAATGCGGAATACCCATCAATTTTCNATTAATGGATGGACTATGGATATTGTCAGTATAAGTCTAAGTGGGGTGTTCAAATTTCCGATTGACCGCAATTTTCTACCATACTCGACCTTACCCTATTGAACAGTTAGCCGCAAAAATTAGGTAGAAATGCAGAAGAGTTTTGGTTTTTCGATTAAATCGGGTTAGAATACGGAATACCCATCAATTTTCGCATTCCTACCCTACCCTACCCGTAAAAAATATATTTAACTTTTTTATATATTTTTTAGTAATTATAAGAGTATTTGTATGATATAATTTATATTATAGCATTGTTATTGTTGTGGATATTTGAGTTGCGAAAACATAGACTTGTTTTTTATGTAGGTTACATGATTTGTGGTGAATTGATTATCTATTGGATCAATTATGATTTTAATGTGTTTTATATAGTTTAAATTTAAAATAATTGTTATTGTATTTGTGTAACAATTATGATAGATTGATGTTCCTGTTTTCTTATGTTTTATTATAATTGTTGTTGTAGTTGTTTTATGTTTTAGTGCTATTGATTTATTGTGTTGTTAAATTGATACATGTTATTTAATTGAATTGTTAAAATAATTCAAAAATTAATAGCTACACAAGGGTTTACCTGACTTCCTACCCNTTCTTATGTTTTATTATAATTGTTGTTGTAGTTGTTTTATGTTTTAGTGTTATTGATTTATTGTGTTGTTAAATTGATGCATGTTATTTAATTGAATTGTTAAAATAATTCAAAAATTAATAGCTACACAAGGGTTTACCTGACTTCCTACCTGATTAATCGGGTAGGAAGTCGGGTAGAAATACCACACCTGATCGGGTAGGGTAGGTTAAAAAAAAATTATTCTGCAAAGTATCGGGTAGGAAGACAAAATACTATATTTCCTACCCATAGGGTAGGGTAAATACCCTAAGTCTAAGTATTACATGCATACAGACTTNAATTCAAAAATTAATAGCTACACAAGGGTTTACCTGACTTCCTACCCGATTAATCGGGTAGGAAGTCGGGTAGAAATACCACACCTGATCGGGTAGGGTAGGTTAAAAAAAAATTATTCTGCAAAGTATCGGGTAGGAAGACAAAATACTATATTTCCTACCCGTAGGGTAGGGTGAATACCCTAAGTCTAAGTATTACATGCATACAGACTTTAAGAGATTTATGTGTAATATTTTAAAGGGTTAATCTCAATTTACACCTCAAAAAATTATTTGAATTTTAATTTGTACCCTCAAAGAAAAAATTTTCAATTTATACTCTCAAAAATAAAATTTTATATCAATGCTAACACCAAACTAGCATCAGTCAATTTGTCATTTGAAACTAAAAGGATAAATTACACATAAATCCCCTCATACTTATCACTTAGACCTCTCACATTTAAAATATTACACTTACATCCCTTTAAAATCCAAATATCACTAAAAATATTCTTCAAATTGGGCATTCAAATAATTTAATTTAAGTGATGTATTGCATTGGATATAAAAAACGTTATATAAATACCTGCATTATATTAGACATTCAAATGGTAAGTTTAATTTTAAATTTAGAGTATAATATGCCTACAAAATAAAGAATAAATGAAATTTATAATTTTTTATTAGGATAAAATCATATTTTTTACCGATTATATTATCAAATATCAAAGACATNAAATAATTTAATTTAAGTGATGTATTGCATTGGATATAAAAAACGTTATATAAATACTTGCATTATATTAGACATTCAAATTGTAAGTTTAATTTTAAATTTAGAGTATAATATGCCTACAAAATAAAGAATAAATGAAATTTATAATTTTTTATTAAGATAAAATCATATTTTTTACCGATTATATTATCAAATATCAAAGACACGGGATAATATGTTACACGTGCATAAACGTTAGAAAGTGTAAGAGTAATATTCTAAATGGAAAGAAATTCAAATGATTAAGTGGTAAGTATAAGGAGATTTAGGTGTAATTCATTCATTTATTTTTAGAAACAAATTGACGGTTGTTAGTTTTATGTGCACGTTGATATAAATTTTTATTTTTGAGGGTATAAATTAAATTTTTTTTATCTTTAAAGATATAAATTAAAATTCAAACAATGTTTTGTGATGTAATTTGCAATTAACGTTATTTTAAATGTCAATAGTATAATAATTAATGATAAACCTCATGATTCTGATATAATTCTCCCAAATAATTCTTTTCGAGCAATGTTACATGAATTTGAAAAATAGATTCGATAATCTCAATTATTGATTTTATCGTGGGTTCTAATATTTTTTAAAATTCACTATTTATTCAATAATTAAAATTATTATATTTAATTTTTAATAAGATTAAAATTATTAAATTTAATTTTTAAATCTAATTTTTAAGTTTAGGCGAGAATACACTTTTCCGAAATTAATGCAAAGCAAGCACCTAACGGAGCCAAACATTCCCTCTCTATTCTCTGTCATCCAGTGAACCCAAAGCAGAAGAAAACAAGAGGTGAACCGCTCAATCTGTCAAATGGGTATTACATACACTTGAAACCCAGTTCAGTATACATATCATCGCAGTATAAAAGGTGCGTACTTTTCGTATCTCAAGCATATTCTTTTTTCATTTTTCGTTTTATGTTTATATACGTTCGTACACACACATAAAGGGAACTAAATTCAAACCTAGTGTTATAATATTGAAACCCTAGAACTATGCACAAATAGTACTTTAAATCTATTCGGGTGTCAAATTTGTTTAATTGGGTATTTTTTGGAGACACCCAGAGGAAAAAAAGTTTTGGTTTGATCAAGTTTTGTTGAATTTTGCAGTTTTTACTTCAAAATGGATTCAGGGTCTAATGGGGAAGAACCCACTTCGTGGGATGAACTATGCAACATAAATTTGATGCCCTCCGAGTTGTTTCTCAAGTTCAGAAAAGAACTTGAAGGGTTTCGCATTGGTGTCAATATGGAGGTATCTCTGTATGGCTACATATTCTTTATTGCTCTGAAATCAATACTTTTTAACTGCCTTTTGATGTCCCAATAGACTGATTCATATCGAAAACATTCCCATAAGTAAAACCTAACGTTGTCAAATTATGATTTGTTGAGCTATGTTAAAAGTAGTCTTCTTTTGGTTTGAACAATTGACCAATAACTTTGCAATTTATTGAGAATATGGAATTTGCATTTTTAAAGATGGCTTTACCGCCTGCATTGTTATGTGTAGTTATTGTAATTTACTTGATGGATATTTAGCAGTGGATATGAGTGCCGTTTATTTTCAAAGTTTCATGTTAATTAAGACTCAACCCATAAGTGTTCATTGTCTGTCAGGCATCAACCTGCGATCTTAGCTTAGACACTGTGAAATTTAAGAAGTACCCATGGAAAGGCACAAGGATATGATATTAATGTTGGATTGGACATGCATACATTGAATCCCTACACCAGAATTTAGTTTTGAACAGTATATCTTCTGACCCTACAAGCATGTATGACTCATAACTAGCTAATATACCCAAAGATGCTTGCATACTTAAGTCCCTTGCCACAGGCAGTCACATATAAGTGAACCAAGTCCTTCTCACCAATTTTTGTGTGTTACATATTACGATAAATGGACACTTAAAACAGTCTAAATGTCTATATAATGCTCTAAAATCTGGGTTGGATGGGTGGATCAACATGCAGACCAGACACTTACCTGCACCAAATGCGTGAACTCAAAAGTTATGTACCGAGACAACATCTTTGTACTTTATTCGCATTTCTGGTTTAACTGTGATCATTTCTATTATAATAAATGCTGTCAATGTAATCTTTTGATTTCATCATTTCGGTTCAGTTCTATAATGCTCCGAGCAATGAGTACCAGGCAAAGCTGGTTTTGAAGCCTTTATCCCATGATCGGAGATGGAAATTCATATATGAGCCTCTAAATCATGATGTGCGTGTTCTTTCCAAGAAAATTCCTATAACCAAATTTCTAAATCTTCAGGTTTGATCTTTTAAGTATGCCTCTCTCTCTCTCTCTCTCTCTCTCTCTCTCTCTCTCTCTCTCTCACACACACACACACACAGATACACCAACCCACCTAGATGTGTACATATCAGTATATGAAGATTTAATTTTATAAATAATGCAGGTAGGCATAGGCCATAGTTTTCTGTTGCAAGCAACTGGTTGGAAGTGGAAGCTTACAACTTGTTTGGGTGGGGATGGTGTATCTCGGATCCGGAATAAGACATCACTTGGATTGTTCCCTGGTGTGGATTTTCGATTTGGGTGGAGAGCTGACTATGTACTTCCAGAAGTTACTGGGTAAGTATCGTTATCATTTTTTGCAATTACTATTGGAAAAATCATCATAGACAAAAAGTTTCAGTGCACTAGTTATAGTGCCTAAAATTGCAAAATTTCATTGTTTCCTGTGAATTGCCCACTCTTGTATAAGTGATTGAATTGTTTTTTATCTGTTTCTTTGCTGGTTTGTGATAGCTCATGCTTGAGAATTTGGCTTTCACAGGGCTGTTGGCACTGGTGAACCATTGTTCAACATGAACTCAGGACGCTTACAAGCATCACTGGATAGAATTGAGGCCATCTTTACAATATGATTGCCACTTGTGAAAGCACCAGGTATATTCCAAAATGACCTGAGATGGGTATTTCTACTAATACAGATGATTCGGAATGTTTAGTAATCATGGATAACTAAAGAAGTTTCCATTTCTGTTATTTTAACATTTTGCTATATTTTTCCATTTTTTTTTTTGCTATTTTGGTTTCTATGGGTGTTTTTTTTTCTTAACCTCTGGAATATGGGCATTGTAGGGTTTGTGAAGAACATAACTTTGTTGCGTCCATTTGTTGATGAGACCTTTAAGATGACAAGCATGGCCATTTCGATATAAGGAAATTAAAATTGAATCCTGTACTTTAATGTGGTTTATATCTTTTTTTAAACTGTTTTTCAAGCTTTATTCTTACTAGATGGGTTCCAGTCATCTTAACATATTTGCTTGTTTATTTTGTATATTCACATGAAGATGTTTGTGACCAAGCATTTGATTCTGACATGATTGGCAGGGCTGAGGCAGATGCGCATGTGTAACTGGAGATATAATGATCATCAGTATGCTGTCATTTCGTTCTCATGTAAATTCTTCAAAAAGATTGGACCGTATAGCCATTTGGGGGATTCCCATGAGCAGAAGACTGTAATTTAATTAGAACAGTTCCTTGCAGAATGTTTCTACCCAGCAATTGATTTTCTATCAGTGTTTGAATTTTTCCACAATTTCTTTCTTTGTAGTTCATATATGAGATCTCTATATGGGTTTGTATTTTCCAAAGTTCATGCCTGGTGCCATAAGTCATTCATTTAGAAGCTAGGAGTCAGCCATTTCATGCAGTTATTTATTTGAGAACGGTCTTTAAAACTCCAGTTTGTTGATGGCAAGGTGGAGTTTAAGGAGTGTTTGATTTATGGAGATATTGCGAGACTACAGAAGATGAAGACATTAGTTGCTATTATTCATATTATGGTCAGACTGTGACACAAACGCTCTCAGTACATTGCATTTCCACGAGGTAAGGTCGCCATACCCATTCCTTTTACAGAGATTCTGTAGCCTTGTTTAGACTCTTCCTGGTTCGCATGGATGACATACTATCGATTCTTCCATTGTATTTGGAGATGTAGAGCCATGCATAATGTTGGCATTGTAATTTGCTTCGTTTCGTTCTGTTTTTGGATGGTTACATTTACGTTCTACAGCTCAAACTGTCATGTATGTAGACCTTGTTTTCATGAGCTGATGTTGTCTGCATATGTACCCAACTGCTGCCAATTCTTGCTAGCCGCCTGGCACAGCAACTTGCCATTGCCCAAGTCACGTTTTTTGTGTGGGAAGGACTCATCTGCGACATGATCATCTTGTTCCTTGGCCATGATGCTGTGAGAACAGTANTGGCACAGCAACTTGCCATTGCCCAAGTCACGTTTTTTGTGTGGGAAGGACTCATCTTCGACATGATCATCTTGTTCCTTGGCCATGATGCTGTGAGAACAGTAGAGGTCAGGACAATATGGACACCAAATATATGGTTGGGGGTGTTCATGGGGCGGGTTGGCCCTTGACAAACCCGTGCCCGGACTGGAAAATTTGACTCGATACCGGAACCGGGCCAAAAATTGGCCTGTCATGTTGCGAGCCTCCACTGCAATCAGCCAAAACCCGGCCCATGTATGCACTCAATTTTCATTTTTTTCGTAATGAGTTTTTTAAGTAATAATACATGAAGTATACAAGTAATAAATTATAACGATTAGAAATTGTAATTTTTAAGTTAGAATTTCACCATTTTTTAAAATATTAAATTTGCCCCGGGTCCACTTTGGTTTGGCCCGCCCAGAAACCTACCAGCCTGCTACAGTGACTGACTATGGGCTGGGCTCGCCGAGACTCAGCCCTTGGACACCCCCTAATATGGTCACCCTGAGTCATTAGTAAATATGGATTAGAGTAATTATTTCCTTACGATGTTTGTTTAAGTTGTATCCAAAAAGCCATCACTTTTATTTTCTCAATTCAAGATTTAACCAAGCTCAATACATTAGTGGACGAGTAATGTTATTTGGACTAAAATATTTGACCTAATGATGCGATAATGATACGGTCCAGTAAATTATTGCAGCTCTAACTATTGAAATTTTTCATTAGAATTCTATCACTTGATATGTCATTAGGTCAGCAAAGTTAGTCGAATTTTTAAGCCTAACTATTAATAGAATGAGGGGTAGAGTAGTTTGGGTTTATTTTTATGAGTAATGCTATACAATTCAATGGAATTCAAAAAGTTGCAATCTAAATGTATATCATTATTTAGACAAGTGGGCTCCATCAATTTTTTTTGGTGGCACTCACTCATCCAATGAATGATATACATTTGGGTTACAATTTTTAAATTCCATTTGAGTTATATACCNAAAAAGTTGCAATCTAAATGTATATCATTATTTAGACAAGTGGGCTCCATCAATTTTATTTGGTGGCACTCACTCATCCAATGAATGATATACATTTGGGTTATAATTTTTAGATTCCATTTGAGTTATATACAATTTTTCTATTTTTACTCCCATCTCTAATTTAATGTAGCTACATTAAAAATTCCCACATAAAACTGTAATTTTTTAAATTTAAAAGCCAATGGATCATCAGAATCTGAAATTTTAGAACACAAGAGATCATGAAAATCTAAAACGTATAGGGTCCTACAAATTATCAAAATCAGGACTTTTGAAAACCAAATGGAGGTATTACTGAATTAATTCCAGGGTTAATAAGGTCCCACCCCCAATCTAGCCGTTGTGACTTGACCCCTCAACGGCCTATTTCACCAACTATATAAATTCAAATTTTTAGATCCTCTTTCAAAGCGAAAAAAAAAAAACATTCGTTTTATCCATTTCTTTCAAGCACGTCAACATAAATCCAAGAAGCCCTCAAATGGCTTCCTCCAAGCTCAGAAGCTCATGTTCCTTCCTAACCCTTCTACTATCATGCTTGAATTTCTTTCTTTTTATCTTGTCTGCAATTTCTCTTGCCCCTATTCTTGTCCTCAAGATGCCACCCACCTCACTGGGTTGGGCATTTCTCATGGTCTCTAGCATCTCCCTTCTCTCCTCTTTTGTGGGTTTCTACTCACAGCTCACCCACTTTTGCTTCATAACCCATGTTTCCCTCCTTCTCGCCTCATCGATTGGCCAGATGCTAGGTGCTTTAGCCTTGTTTACGAAAGAGAAATCGAGCCTTTCTATGTTAAAGTCACCTAGAGATCCAAAAGAAGCAAAACTTTTGGTAAGGTTGGAATGTGGAATTTTGTTGTCTATGTTTGTAATGCAGTTGGGTGTGTTAATAGTGACTTGTGCCGTACATAGCCGTTGGGTGAGGGAGTATCAGGGTTTAGAAGCTGAGGGAGAGGCGACAGCAAGGAAGAGGAGTCAAAGGATTGCACAAGTGCAGGAAGAGTCCTTGGAAAATACAACGAAAATTGCCAAGGTTAAAGCCAAGCAGTTGGATGAGAAGATGAAAAGCAAGTATTGGCAATGGGTGAAAACTGATTTTGAAGGCTAAAGACACTTGCTATTTACTGTTCTTAGTAGCTAAATATATGATTTATTCGTTGACTTGTGCTGTTTGCTGATGCAATAATGGTTGTGCTTGTTTGCGGTCACTGTAGGATGGCCATTGGATGTGTAATGTAGAACCTGTATAATGCAGTTATCCTTTCCTCCAAAGCTTTGCTTTTCCAATGTTGGCAGCATTTCTCTCCATTTTTCACTGAATAAATACAGATACTGACCCTTAGCAGTAATACATAATAAGTAATAATTTACCCAAAGAATTACATATACCTGATAAGAATCTATAAAGCTGTAACCAGTTACATGCATAAGATGACAACTAACAATAATCAATGAACCTGTAACTCAAATTTGAGAGTACGAGTTGGTATAATATAAGTGCCATGTACCTAGATCAACAACTTGCCTGCAATGTCGACAATTTATATGAAGCCCCCACACCGTCCTGTTCCTTGATACAAGTTTAGTCTGGATTCCTTCCTTGTTTATCGCCGAAACAGTATTTAAAGGTTCATCCTTGTGAACCTTTGACATATGTCAATTTACTGCACTTGATCATTTTGGGGTGCTAGTACCAATCGTCGCTCAAAAGAACAATTGTCCACAATACCCATCCTAGAGTGAATGAAATTTGATATATTCAAGTAAAGAGAAATCCTGCCTGCTTAAAGTACAGCTCAAGGATGAGTATTGTGGCAAGGCTCGGGATAAATATGATCAAGTTGAATGAACCTCTCTCGGGAAAGCTTGGACCTGGAACCAGATAGAAACATATGAAACCTTCGATTAACCTCAACTAAACTTTGACCAGGAATCTTTTTCAGTTCCCTTGCCTCCATCAATTTTCTCAATCTTGCTACATCCTCCCACCTACCAGCTTCAGCATAGATATTTATCATAAGGACATAGAAAGAAACAGTTTGAGGGTTAAAATGGAACAATCGATCTGCCACAAGTTCTGCCAGCTCAAGATTACCATGGATTCTGCAAGCACCAAGCAAAGCTCCCCAAACACTCACATCTGGATGATTGGGCATATTCTCGATAAATTCATATGCCTCCATCAATCGATCAGCTCGGCCAAGAAGATCAACCATACAAGCACATTGTTCTACACCAGGCACGATTGAGTAGTCTCTTGTCATACTTTCAAAATGCTTCCTCCCTTCTTCCACAAGACCTGAATGCCTGCAAGCAGTCAAAACAGCAGTGAAGGTTAAGCTATTTGGCCTAATTCCTTCTTCTTTCATCTTGGAGAAGAGCATGAGAGCATCCTGCCCATGCCCATGAGATGCACAAGCCCCTATAATTGAAGTCCAGGCCACAACATTCTTATTAGGCAACCTTTCAAAAACACCCCTGGCCAAATCTATGTTTCCACACTTCGCATACATATCAATTAGTGCATTGGTGACCGAATTATTGTTTTCAAAACCTTTACTCCTCACAAGCTCATGCACCCATTTTCCAGTGTTGGAAGCTCCCAAACTAGCACAAGCAGAAATCACACTAACCATGGTAATATAATCAAATTCTACCTTCTGAGTTTGCATCAGACGAAAGAGCTTAACTGCATCTGCACCAGCATTATTATGTTCATAAGCAGCAATCATGGCATTCCAAGACACCACACTTCGGACTGCCATCTGGTCAAACAAATATCTAGCTATATCAATGTTCCCACACTTACCATACAAGGCAATCAAAGCATTAACCAATGAGATTTCCGAGTCCACTCCCAGTTTCATCCCATAGCCATGAATCAACATACCTAAGTTCAAAAACTCCAAACCAGCACAGGCTGGAAGAATGCTGACAAGTGTAACAGCATTCGGCCGAGTCCCCGAAGCCATCATCTCTCGAAAAACACCCAACCCCATGTCGAAAAATCCATTTTGCACATACGCGGAAATCATAGCTGTCCAAGAAACTATGTTCCTTACAACCATTTCATCAAAAACAAGCTCCGAACTCCAAGTCTCTCCGCTCTCCGAATACATTGTAACCAAAGAACTCTTTACAAATACATCCATATCAAACCCATTCTTGATTATATTACAGTGCACTTCTGTCCCTTCCCTCAAGGCCGAAAGCACAGCACATGACCGAACAACAAAAGGGAAAGTATAGTTATCGGGTAACAATCCACTCTGATGCATATTTCTATAAAGAACTATGGCTTCGCGGCAAGGACCCAGATCGGCATAGCCTCGAATCAAGGTGTTCCAGAGGAATACGTCTCTTTGAGGCATTTTGTCAAAGAGTTTACGGGCATACTCCATTGTTGGTGCTAAAGAGCAGGCGAGATTGATCAGCTTTGTTGACAAGAAGAGGTTTCGGTGGGACCCATTTGTGAGGATCAGTCCATGGATTCGTTTGAGTTCCGAAAGAGAGAAACAGGAGTTCAAAAGTTCGTTGAAAGAGGGGGAGGGGGAGTGGTAGTTGGTATAGAAGTGAAATGGAAGCCTAGAACAATTGAATTCAAGTTTTCTTAGTATTATACAGAATGACTTGGCTGACATGAATTTTTGACATCCCTCAAACAACTGTTTCGTTTTGGGTTTTACTAAACAATATTTCGAATTATCAAAAGCCCCAGTCGAAGTAGAAGAAATGACTCGGTGATTGGAGCTTTCCCAACTTGAGCCCTACGTAGTCCCTCCGCCGCACATGTCCAAACATCTTCCAAGTTAAAGCTGAGGTGTGAGTAGGGGTGTTAACNTTTCGTTTTGGGTTTTACTAAACAATATTTCGAATTATCAAAAGCCCCAGTCGAAGTTGAAGAAATGACTCGGTGATTGGAGCTTTCCCAACTTGAGCCCTACGTAGTCCCTCCGCTGCACATGTCCAAACATCTTCCAAGTTAAAGCTGAGGTGTGAGTAGGGGTGTTAACACACGATATAATTCTAAAATTGACATTTTAATAAATATGTATAATAAGTTAATTGAATTAATATTTGATACTTATAATAAATTGTTACGTGAATATTAACATAAACACGACACAAAAATAATAATACGCGAACAACACGACACGAATTAAAACCCCCAAACCTAAGCCAACATAACACATTCATTCAATAGATTTTTTTGTGTGAATAATGACNCGCGAACAACACGACACGAATTAAAACCCCCAAACCTAAGCCAACATAACACATTCAATAGATTTTTTTGTGTGAATAATGACATAAACACGACACAAAGATAGTACCACAAGAGAATTAATACCCCTCAAACAGACCCAACTCTGCTGTCATGTTCTTGCTCTGTCCACTAAATAAATTGTTTGAAATTGTTCCTAACAAAATTTTTATCCTAATATGAACTCATACAACTGTACCTAGACCACAATAAACTAATTATTTCCTACTTGCTTATAATTTCAAATCCCAAAATATAAAGCAGTTCCACAACCATAAACCTTAGCTCGTTTTTCTTTAAATTTCAGAATCATATGTTTATTATAGGTATGAAATTGAGGCATCATAATAGCAAGCTTTAACATATGTTCTAAAACTATTAATAGCAATTAAGGCACGGGATGGTCAATAAAGGAAAATTTCTTCTCAATTTGAAGGCCGCACCACAAAACTGTTGCAGCATAAACACTGGGTGGTAGTATGGATTGTTCCCAACTACATATCTTCATATAGGAAGAAAGTCCGAATAGATCTCCATCTCCTGCTCAGCTCCCATATAATCATACAAAATGTATACTCTTCCCTACATTCGACAAGATCACTTTTCTTTTCTGCTCTTTTCTTTTCTTTTCTTTTTAACCAGCACATACAAAAACCATAAATACACCAACCAAAATGGGTGATGTACACTTTATGCCAAAGCCAACCATCAGATGGTAAAATTGGAGATTACATTGGCGAAGAAACAGAAGAATAATGCAGAGGTCCTTGAAGATCAGGCACCTTGAGATGTTCTAATATCGGGGCCATTTTCAATCCGATAATTCGCACCTGTGGATTTGAGTGGCCATCCAGAAATACATTGGTAATCTGCAAAGAATGCCCAATGTCAAACATCAAATATTGTGCATGGCCCTAGTGTACAATATTCCACATCTCAAAACTGTGCAGGGCAGGATTTGAAAAGATCACAAAGACCCGTATTATGCAGAATAAACAGTTTGAAGTGAACAGCAAATTTCATAAACTGCTGTCTCAACATGTATGAGATTGCATGTATTAAGTTTAGGGTTATTTGCCATAAAGATGAATAGAAGAGTTGGGTGAGTGGAGGAAATGATTGTTATCCTACCTCCCACTGTCAACTCATTTATAGGCTACGAATCACGGATACTTCGTTAAGGTCGGCATACCCGTATTGGATATCATTCTAGATAAACCTAATTCGATAAATATTAGCTTGGNGTGAGTGGAGGAAATGATTGTTATCCTACCTCCCACTGTCAACTCATTTATAGGCTATGAATCACGGATACTTCGTTAAGGTCGGCATACCCGTATTGGATATCATTTTAGATACGATACTCGTCAGATACTCGAGAGTACGTATCGGATACACCTACTACGTATCCGATAATAAATAAATATTAGGATACTTTACGGATACTTTTATATTCAAGCCACATATATAATTTTTGAGTTGAATTTTTAACATTTCTTTTCGAATTCACATATCGTACAATACATTAACAAAAATTTATACTACTTTAAAGACACATGAGTATTTTTTAAATATTATATACAATTACATGTCAAAAGAACATAAAATAAATCTATTACGTTATAATCTGAGCAAAAATTACTTCTAGATAAACCTAATTCGATAAATATTAGCTTGAATTTCTTTAATTAATCACTTCACTTTGTGAATGTACCATAGTGATACAATATATATTTTCTTGAAATTAAAAAAATTACTAATTTTCTTTATTGTAATAAAGAATTACCAAAATATATAAGTATTAAGTTGGTTCAAAATAATAAAAATAATAAATATATTTTATTATAACCGTATTTTAACCGTACCCATATCTTACATTTTTAGATTTTATCGTATCGTCGTATCCGTATCGTATCGTATCGGTATCCTGTATCTGTATCCGCNTTTAACCGTACCCATATCTTACATTTTTAGATTTTATCGTATCGTCGTATCCGTATCATATCGTATCAGTATCCTGTATCTGTATCCGTGCTTCATAGTTTATAGGTATATAAATGACCAACGGACCTTTGGTCCAATGGTACTCATTACCTTATCAAGGCTTTGCCTTCTTGACGTCAAGGGTTCAAGTCCCCCCTCCCCTCCCATCCCATCCCATCCCATCCCAAAAAATAAATAAATAATTAATAATAATAATATAGGTATATAATGAAACGANTCAAGGCTTTGCCTTCTTGACGTCAAGGGTTCAAGTCCCCCCTCCCCTCCCATCCCAAAAAATAAATAAATAATTAATAATAATAATATAGGTATATAATGAAACGAAAAAAAAACATGAGTACTCTTATTAGAACTATAATCAACAATAATACCGATATTCTTCACAGCATGCATAACTAAACTAGACAAGTACTCACGATAGCATACTTTTACTCTGTTAGAAAAGAGGAGGTAGCTCTGAATTTTGAAACCAGAGTCGGGAGGACACATTCAAGGAACTATTGAATTACAATAAGGCAAGTTAAGTGTTCACACAGCCATAAACATAAAATCAATACCCATAGAATGTGATGAAGCCATAACAAGAAAAAGTCAAACTTCCTTCTTACTTAGCTTGCTTATCCAACAAGTCTGGAATGCACGGTCAAATGAAAAACCCTAGCAAAAGCTGTAATGCACAGAAAGTGTTACACACCAAAACTCAAGATGGGTTCCCAGTATGCATTCATGAAATATTTATATATGGCTTTTCTTATAATGGAGGGAATTAAATTGGAGTTTTTTCCACTTTCTGAGGTTTTCAGCATAGAGCAATTAATGTGAGCGCATCAACTCCACCCTCATGGCATTCTAAGGAGGCAGAATTGTTCATACTCAATGAGACCTACTCAAAGTCAGGAAAATTATATTAAACTGATGATGCCATTGCACATACCATTCCAATAAAAAATGCAATCTATTATGAATTTCAATTAGCAATATGGTATCATCTTAAGTGAAATCAAAAAAAAAATGACATCATCTCGAATGGCTAAAGCTTGCATGATAAGAATGGAACACAAGATTTTAGAAGTGTAATTTATTGACCATCGGGATTGATAGTGGTATCAATTACTCATTTGTTATACTTGCTATAAATGATATGTAAAACAAAGGCCCGCAAGGAGCAAAGATAAATGCAAAATAAAACTTCTTCCAACCTGAGAGTGGACGACTGACTCAGTATTTTTCACTTATTGAGAAAAAAAAAGAAAGAATATCCACATTTAAAAAAATTCGAAGTACATAAACTTTCCTCCCTAAACTGGGATGATTTCATGCATACATAGTTAAAGGTCCAACAACCAAAGTAATAGATCACTAGAATTTTCACAATTCTGGCATTCATATGAGGCCTTTAGCCAATGTTTGGTTCTAATATGACAGACAAGCTCATCAAGGTGGTATGTACAAATTGATGGGAGTCGTTGCATAGGCATGAGAAAATAAGGTATGCAACAGAAAATGGCATTTCTATTTCTCCTAATAAACCTCCAGATTAGACATATAAGGTCAGTTCCAAAAAAGAGACATATAAGGTGGCTTCTGTGTCTAAGCAGCTAGGGATCATCAGGCATACAAGCGTCCATATAGATAACACATCTCAGGAAAAACTATATAAAAATATTCTATTTAAATAGACAGTTCATATATAACATTACTGACACCAGATGTGTGCACTGGGGAGTTTATATCCATCTAGGAGTTAAAATCATGATAAAAAAGATAGGCACACAATCTCTAATACCTGAGTACAGCCAAATATTTTGAGCACTTTCAGCGATAAGCAGCTATCCACAATCAATCCAAGGGCTTCATCTGTCAAATTTCGGCACCAAGATAAATCCAAACTAATTAAATTTCTTGAACATCTTGCAAGCGATATAGCAGTGTTGTCAGCAACCTGCAAAAAACCACATATGTCAAATGAGCAAAAACTCTGATGTCACCGTGGAGGCACATGGGATGAGTTCCAGCAAACCCTAAAGGACAGCAAAAATTTATTGGCCAAAGTTAAGGCTTCTGGCTTCCAAGTCATTGCTTTGAGCACCAAAATTCAAATGACTCAAGCAGTGGCTAGCAATAATTTACAAGACATCAGAGACGAGGGACAAAGAACAGGACGACTGCAAACTACACATACACATGCATGGGCATGCATGCACGCACGCACACACCCCATAGAGAGCGAGAGAGATGAGTAAAAGTCCAATATAATATGAAATGTTGATATGGTACCTTGTTAACATTATTAAGTGACAATTCTTTCAAAGTCTGTCCGCAAGTCTCAATATACGCAGCAACAGCTTCATCACTGTCAGATACAAGAATTTGCTACAGTTACTTTTCCAACAAATGAAGTGTCAGCACAGTTCAAGACACTAATCAACAGCTTGAAATAAAGACTACCACAAGCTATAACAGCGAGAGAGGTTAAAACTTATATCTCCCAAAATAAATTTTATCACTTCCCAAGATAATGCAGTACTGCACCACAAGTCAAGACCTAAGTCCCATAATCTGCCTCTAAAGGGTATCCCATAATCTATGTATGTTTCAGAAACTTCCCTTGCTAAGAATCTAAGATATAGATGTATGGAGATATAGTATGGTTCAACCAAAGAAACCATGGGAATTTATTGAAAGAGGTCAGAAAAATAGAAACTGGTTTTACCCCTTGAGGTAAGTTGAAACCAGTGAGGTAACAACAGAAGCAGGGTGAACATTCCAACATTCAACATCTGTGGAAGTCAGCATGAAACAAAATTCTCTTTGTAGACCCATTTATTAATCCTTCTCCTATCTCCACCTTACATGTTTAAATCTCTAATTTCCCCCCTGTACTACTCATCTTTACTGGGTTTGTTGGGAAACCCTCATTGTTTATTTACATGTATAATATGACTCTTTTTACATCTTTCTGTCGTTCATAAAATCAATTTTGCTTTCTAACTATCACTCTACATCAATCTTATTGACGTTCCAATAATTGTAATAAAATGTCATTACCCTCACATTTCTACATTGAAGCTGACAAATTAATCATTAAATTATATCCTTGTAAGCAAAATTACTATTTATTTTATTTCTATAGTTCCTACTCTATTTCATCTTACATATACACAGTGAAGCATGTCTACAATTATGCAAAAAAAGGTGCCTTGCGATGCTCCCACTCTCAGAAAATCTTGCATCCACTCTCACTCCTGCTCCCAGTCTGTGCNATTACTATTTATTTTATTTCTATAGTTCCTACTCTATTTCATCTTACATATACACAGGGAAGCATGTCTACAATTATGCAAAAAAAGGTGCCTTGCGATGCTCCCACTCTCAGAAAATCTTGCATCCGCTCTCACTCCTGCTCCCAGTCTGTGTGACTTAGGTCAAAGCATTCTCCACTTAGCACAATAACAGCCAATCACTCTTGCTCCCACATTGTATCACTTAGGCCAAAGAATTGTCCCTTTAGAGCAATAACAGCCAATGCCCCCTAAGTGAACGTTTTTGTGGAGAAGAATATAAATGACCCACTGTCAAAACACCGTAAGACCTGACTGGACAGCATCCATTCAAACAATCAAAAATCAACTTATGTGCATGGTCTACTGTCTGTCATCTTTTAATGCTTGAAAGCTTACAGACAACATTTCCAACATCAACAAGTACAAACTACCACACGAGGACCATCCACCAATATTCACACAGACAAAAATGTCAAGCAAATAACACAAAGCATTTTTAACTGCTTTATGCCTTAATGTACTTACTAGAAGCAAGCTAGGCAATACTCATATGTAGTAACATAACATTATTAATCCAGATTAATTTAAAACCTGAATCCATTGCGGCAAAGTCTAAGTGTTTGAATTGCTCCACAACCATTAGCAAGATATCCAATTGCCGAATCCGTCAATTTGCACAAGTTAGTAAGATCCATTACATATAATCCAGGGCAATATTCTGCGATGACTTTCAGGGAAGTATCGGTCAAATTCCTGCACCAAATTCAAGACAACCAGAATGATAAATCAAATGACTTCAAACATTTCCCCAGAGCATAGTCACGCGAGGATTTTAGTTGTAAATCATGGATTTTAAAATATATTCAACAAAGAAAGCTGCTCCAAGACACCTACACACAGTTTGTCAAAAGAAGTTCCTTCATATTCTGACCACGTACAGCTACAAATTCACTGACAAAATCATCACAAACAGTTTGGATGCCAGCTACCGACAACACTTCCAAATGTTCAAGTTTTGACAACGCAGGCAGAATAAGCATAGCATCTATGCTTTGACAGTCATCTATATATAACTCCCTTAGCACTGATCCCAGTGAGTTAGCTAAACTGTTGATACCGTCCAAGGTAAGCAGGGAGCACTGGCTGAGATTCACGGATCTTAAAGCAGGGGCAGAAGAAACAAGTGCACTTAGCCCGACATCAGAAAGACGACATGCACCCTTCAAGGATATAGTAGTTAACACAGGCAAGCTGTTTGATAGGCGATCTAAGGTAGCAAATAGAATATAATCTGGCATACAGCGTCCACATTGGTCAAGTTGTAGCACCTGATTCCACAAAACCAAAAATATTCAGCTTCACCAACATTTTAAATTATAGGGATCAAATGTTTTTACCCCCCCACACAACCAATTCTTTATTCTAAATTCACCTGACACCCCAACAGCATTATAACAAGATACCAAGAAAATAAATTGCTAAAAATGGTGGCAGCAATAGGTGTGGAACCTAACGAGGCTGTAGATCTGTTTTTTATCATCAAAAGCTAGTTCAAAAGAAGTTCTTTTTCTTATAGAACAAAACTTAAACCAAGCACAAAGAGGATACCAAATAAGACAATTGGCGTCTCAAATGTAGTTTGACAGTTCCATACTTGGTATAGTGCTTTCATTACAGTGCGAAAACATCAGCAAGAACGAAAAGCTTTATGAAGGAACATAGTAACAACTTCACAGAGCATTAGTAACAAATCCCGATGCAAAGCAATGACATTCAGGTTAGGGTTGCAAATTAAGAAAAAGGTAATCATTCCAATTTAAACAGCAGCCTCCAGGATTCAAACACACCACCACATTAACAGTCATGATCAGATAAGTTCATCGCAATTCATGACGTGTGTAGTTAAAAATGATTAAAACATAAAATCAAGCATCAGAAATAACAATCAAATAGATAGAAATCGCACCGTCAAGTTATTGGTGTCACAGCCTTCAAAGTTCTTCATGAATTGCTCCTCAGTGAGCCATGAGCAGTCCCTTACCCGTATCTCTGTAGGAGATTTGCTTACAAGGAGGTTAAGAAAATGATCATTCATTCTCCGAGAATCACAAAGTAACTGAGTTAGCTTGTGCCTCAGAATATCAGGGACAATATCGAGTGAAGTGATTGCATCCGCATTTTTGGCAAGAATTGTCATACACAGTTCTTGGAGTGAGGGAACCAATTGCTTTGAGCAGTCAAGTTGCTGACTCCTTCTGGGAACCCAAACCACTGATGCAGATCTGCTTTTTGCTGAAGAGGAATTTGTCTGTTGCGCATTCACGTTCACCTCTCGATCCCTAATAATCTTCATAGCAGTCGAAAAGGGACCTGGCCAGTCTTCTGCTTCCCTTTGTCTCATTTCAGTAGCAGCCTCATCTGCAGCATCGTTCTCTTCTCCCTCTTGGGAAGAGAAATGAGCAAAGCGTGATGCATTCTGCCTAGCAACATCTCGGAATCGTTCCCTGTAACCCCTTCTTGAAGAATGCACCCTCTCAGAAATCTCCTTGTCCATCGATCGGATAGCATCAGATCCTATATTTTCAAGTGATTTTTCTACTTTAGATTCCAAAACCAACTCTGCATCAACACCTTTTGATACCAACTCATCCCCAACTAGTTTCCCTTTCCCCTTTTCTTCTCTGCTGAACCTCCTTCTAGCCATAAGCCCCTCATTGGGAATCAAGTCTTTCTCTGAATCAAAATTTTCAAGCAGATTCACAGCATCTGAAACTGCATTACCAATTGATATCTCCACTTTGGCCCCCGAGTCCAATTTCAGTTGATGAACACCGTTTATAATCAAAGCCTGGTCATTATATTTGCCTTTCCCTTTCTCTTTCCTAGTAAATCTCCTTCTGCCCTTAACACTACCATTTTCTTCTACCCTCAGGCCTCTCTCTGACTCATTGTTCATAACACCCTCTCCACCCCCATCATTCACCAATCCCATACTTTCTTTATAATTACCACTCTTTTCATTTTCATGAACCATCTCATCATCCTCATTGTAATCACCTCCTCCAAAACCACCACCACGACCGCCACCAATTCCTCCCATTCCTCTCTTTGCAATTTTCTTGCCCGATCGCAAATTCAAATACCTTTTACTTTTCTCACCCTCTCCCACCAATTCCAGCCCCGATAAATCAACATCAAGGCCCAATTTCCTCTTCCCTTTCCCTTTGCTCTCACCCAAACTCCCTGATCCAGAACTCAACCCAAATTCACCCACACCTCTCACCACTTCAAATTCCTCCACAGCTGAAATCGAATCACCTAATCCCATTTTCTTCTCCACAATACCTTCCTTCTCTTCCAAAACCCCACTTTTCCTTCCATTTCGCTCTGAAAACCTGACTTTCGCCACTCCCAATTTTTGAACCCCATTTACAATTTTCATTTCATTATTTCCGCTGCTACCTCCAAGCTCTCCCACAACATTCCCCGAATTAAAGTCAGTAGCAACAACATTTTTTCTTTTTTGACATAAAATTGCAGCATTATCTCTCATTTCATCGGAACTCGATTTCGAAGCCAGTCGGGCACTCCGTCTAGGAAAAGTTCCATAAACCGATACGGAATTCAAATCTAACCCCAATCCTAGAGTATACGGAATAGGAGCCAAAGAACTCGAACTAGGCGTAGTGTTGTTTGACCATTGCGTTAATGGTTCTAGGGTTTTTGATGGTGTCGTTGGCTCGATAACCTCTTTTCTCACACTTTCGGGTGGAGATTTAGATTTCAGTGTTGAAACTATTTCTCGAGACTTCAACAAAGTCATTGCTCTAGAAACTGCGTAGTCGTGAGTATAACTAATAAGTAATGACCGTGAGAAAATTAGCGGAAAATAAAGGGGACGCNGTGTTGAAACTATTTCTCGAGACTTCAACAAAGTCATTGCTCTAGAAACTGCGTAGTAGTGAGTATAACTAATAAGTAATGACCGTGAGAAAATTAGCGGAAAATAAAGGGGACGCAGAGAGAGAGAGAGACTTACAGTGTTCGGTGACGGCAAAATGAAAGTGACTGTGTCAATAAGTATGAAGGAGAGAGAGAGAGAGGCACACAGTGATGAGTGAGTGAGGGAGGTGTGTGCATTGGAGGGTGGAGAGAGAGAAGCTTGCTCAATACGCCTGATGGGTTGCCTACGTATTTCCCGCCAAAATAGTGTGGATTAACCCTGTAGGCCTGCGTGGCCGTATAACTGCTTATCCATGGCTCCACACATGGGCCTGGACTATGTCGTAAAAGAGGTAGGCTTTGAATTAGAAGCCCAAAAATACCGTTAAATATTTTCTGATTTAGCATTACTCCAGACTCAAGAGAGTCAAAGATCGATTAAAGTTTCCATCTAGTCGATATTATCTATTTAATAGTACGAAATTGCAGTCCAACCAAACACATTCTCTAATATCTAATAAGTCTACTAACTCGAACTTAACTGTCTCTTTTATTTTAATTCTCTCTGTATCCACTCTAATTCTAAATTTCGTAAGACGAACAGTTATTCATGAGTTTTGATTCTCACGCAATTCTTAGCGGTGTAAAAGTAGTAAACGTAGTCCATTGGTGGGCAGTGCCGTAGTATTCATGTTTCCGCACTCTTCAGTCGTATAAACCTGCCCTATATACTCCAAAAATCAACAACCCGCTCCTCCATCTTCACTTCACTTGGATTTCGGACCTTCACTGAGACANATTCTCACGCAATTCTTAGCGGTGTAAAAGTAGTAAACGTAGTCCATTGGTGGGCAGCGCCGTAGTATTCATGTTTCCGCACTCTTCAGTCGTATAAAGCTGCCCTATATACTCCAAAAATCAACAACCCGCTCCTCCATCTTCACTTCACTTGGATTTCGGACCTTCACTGAGACGAGGATTGTTGGGTTGAGGGGCCAGTAATCTCATCCATTCAACACAATCATTGATAAGCCACCGGAAACCTAGTCATCGCTACTGTAATCATCTACATATTATTCAGATCTGTTGTTAGGTACCTGTACTTACATACTAAATGGGTCATCATAACAACCGCCACGTCACCACCGCCGCGGATGGCGTCTCTCAACGAGTCAACAGCCCTCGTTTCTCGGGCTCAATGACTCGCCGAGCCCTATCTTTCAAACGAAATAACACCACCCCCACTACGCAAAACAGCAGCGCCCACCAGGAGATTGATCTCCAACTTAACTCGCCCAGATCTGAAATCAATAGTAACCCACTTGCCGTTGATGGGTTTCAGTCAGTTGGAGAAAAGAAACAGACCCGTTTTAGTCGTCATGTCAGAGAGAGAGTAAATGTAAAGAAGGCTGTTGGTTCCGTTGTTAGTGTGGATTTGGGATTGCGATTGAGGGGGAAGAAGTTGGGACATTGGATGTTCTTGATATTTTGTGGGGTGTGTTTACTTTTAGGAGTTTTGAAGATTTGCACTGTTGGGTGGTTTGGAATTGCAACTGAAAGAGTTTGGTCCAATAAGGTTGGTTCGTTTGTCAATAATGAGTGACCGTACTGTATTATTATTGGAAATTTGTGTCTTATGCTTCATCTTTCTTTGCTTAATTTATTATCAGTTCGTCTGGCAATGCGTTCATGGTTCATTGTTTTTCCGTTCTATGATAAAAATGGCTTTTTGAAGGGAATGTACTTGAGGGAAAAAATTCTGACACAGTATGAACTTTTGAAATTTAACAGAGCAACATAACAACCCCCACACAATGGTTTCTGATTACTGCATGGAATTTAGTGAGGGATTGCACTTGATAAAAAGTGAAAGACATCATTCACGTATGTCTTCCATAAAATGCAACTTGGAAGAAGTTTTCTTAATGTTATGTTTTAACAAGAACAACAAAAATACATATTTGCCCTCAAGTCAGAGATATCACTTTGTCAGTACAGATTTAGTTGTGCCAGGAGCATAAGTAGTGTGTTTTTTTTGGGGTGCAAAGAGCACTAAATGGTTCTTTGAACACTAATTATATATGACGGGTTAGTTTAAATGGTTCTTTGAATAATACTTAGATATGATGGGTTAGTTTACATGGTTCTTTGAATAATAATTAGATATGATGGTTTATTTGGAAAATGAACTAGCCCATTGGAGCGAGTGCTTCACGTGTTTATAGCTATTGACTAGCACATACCCCTCTTTCTACTTTTGATTTATATTTTCGTGGGAATAAACAGAGTGATATCAATAATGTGTATGATCGTAGTCCTTGATATAAACAAAAAAAAAACTACTGATGTTTTGACAACTTGTTCTTATATATGTGCAAGTGTTATAGCTAACTGCATGTGGAACACCGTTGTAAATGTTTGATCTTTCCACTTAGGATTTATCCGACTCCCTGGTCACTCGTCCAAATCTAAGGGATAAAAGCTCTCACAAACACGGACAAAGGGATGGAGAAAGTAATGTTGCTGTTGGAGGAAATGATGTGGAACGCACTCTAATGATGGTAGGATCAGGTGTAGTCGGTTGCCAGAACAGCAAGGCCGATGTAAGTCTCAAATTCATGTCAAAAACATATTTGCCTCGTCAGAATAATGCATTTACCTCTTCACTCACAGAAGGAAATTGTTTAGTTTTTAGGCATCTGGTTCAAGCCTAGTAGTGAGAATTTCACTCAGTGCATTGATCAGCCCAAAGGTCACAAAAGTAAGAGTTTTTCACCGTATTTGAATGGACTTTAATTATATGTCATTTTATGGACCTATTTCTCAACCCTTTTCCTTTTGCTTCTCTTGGCAGAGCCAGATGCAGAGACAAATGGTTATCTTCTGATTAATGCGAACGGCGGCTTGAATCAAATGAGATTTGGGGTCTGTTGTGTGTTTTAACAATCTAGTAGGCTGCTATCGAGGATTAATAGTAACATAGCTCTGATAAACAAAATATTTTTGAGTGCAGATCTGTGATATGGTTGCAGTTGCTAAAATCATGAAGGCAACTCTGGTCCTTCCTTCTCTTGATCACACTTCATACTGGGCTGATAAAAGGTCCTTTCTCAATGTTTTTGCCAATTTACTGTTTCTGCCACTGGATTGGGTATATAAAATAATGACCATATAGCTTGGACCTCAGATGTGGGTGAACTCTGAATAGCTTGCTCCACTTTTTCGTGTACCATTGTTCTGTCCTGTGTTACTGCCATTTCCCTATTTTATTTACAAACCACATTTTTGTCAATTATTCTCTGATACACGGATGGTAACAATACTGATGCAAAAGGAATCTCCTTCAATATGAACACTGTATCTGCCCCACTACCGTCCAAGAAACAAAATCTCACCTCCTTCACTTCCAAGGGTTCTACTTCTACTGCTATAATGATTTCTTTTATTTTCATTGTACAACCGAGCTTCCATTCACAGGTCTCAGATAGAGATTGTAACAACTGACACCTTTTGTATAGCGCACAAGTTCCTTAGGTGCTTGATGGTGTGCATTATCGTTTCCTAGGTTTAATCTAAATGGTGCTTGTCTTATTTTTTATATATCTGCAGTGACTTCAAAGATCTATTTGATTGGGAACACTTCATTGAGGCACTGAAAGATGACATCCGCATAGTCGAGACGCTACCACCTGCCTATGCTGGAATTGAACCGTTCAAGAAGACACCAATATCTTGGTCTAAGGTGAACCTTGACTCATTAATCCTTTGATATCTAGTGCAGAGAAACATAATGTGAACATGCCCCGTTAAAGATGGCAGCTACATCTTTTCACAGAATAAGCCAAATTAATATATGCAGCCTGTCAACTCCTTAATGACTGCGATCTATATTGTACCAGATTCTAAGTATGTTTCAGATTATTTGGACCCTTTGGTTGAAGAACATATATTTAATGATACACTAATAAAGATTCTACATGGTTGAGTTCAGCTGTTAAACCTCATCTGATTGTCCTTCTATGACTTTTATAACAGCGCTGCTTGTATTCCTATATTTAGGTTAGCTATTATAAGTCAGAGGTCCTCCCCCTTCTGAAGCAGCACAAAGTATTATATTTTACCCATGCTGATTCGCGGCTTGCCAGCAATGGTCTCCCCACTTCCATACAAAAGCTAAGGTGCCGTGTAAACTACAGGGCATTAAAATACTCAGCATCAATAGAAGAACTGGGCAAAATATTGGTTTCAAGATTGCAACAAAGCGGAAGCCCTTATCTTGCTCTCCATTTGAGGTTTGTTCTGCTAGTTTTATTTATTATTATTTTTTTTAAAAATGTTAAGCTAAAATTTACATTTTTTTTCTGATAGAGCAGCATTTGGATACATGAAGAGTGTTGTTGTGACTCGCAAGTGTGTTCTATTTTTCTCTTCATTATAGGAGGCACTTATTTAATTGTATAACAAAAACAGCCAATACGGAACACCCGGCGCACCTTGTTGACATTTTGGCCTACTTTCTAAACCCAAATAAAATGATGAGTTTGAAAATGATGTGGAAGTGCTCCTGTTAACTTCTTAATGTGCCACTATAAAAACATGAAAGAAAGGCTCTGCAAACTATCTATATTATGAGCAATAGTAATTCAATATGATTTGTGAATCTATGGTTTCTTAGACCTTAATAATTTTTTTTATTTTGATGCTTTGCTTGGGTAAACTTATGCTGGAAACAGTTGCTTCCGGTTGTTGATCTGTATATTCTTTTGAACTTTGTTGTAGGATACCAATGAAAATTGCAGCACTTATTGTTTTAATTGTAATTACCTTTATTGCTTTTGCTTGGAGTAAAGTTATTTAAGAACCTACATATCCATAGTTTTGGTGTGTTTATCATCTCTCACACGCTCCAATGTGCAGGCCTTGTTTCTGAAGTTTTTGTTGGACCTTTTCCATAGGGTCATAATAGAAAACACAATAGTATTAACATGTTAATATGTGCAGTATTGGAATTGCATGATTCCAGGAAGTTGGTATAATTCCCATATCAAACTGTTCTGATTCAATTCAATTTTTGGTTGCCTTGCAGGTATGAGAAGGATATGCTTGCTTTCACGGGCTGCAGTCATAATTTGACCACAGAAGAAGGCAATGAGCTCCGTAGGATGCGGTATGAGGTCAGCCATTGGAAGGAAAAAGAGATTGACGGGTCAGAGAGAAGGCTGCTTGGTGGCTGCCCGCTGACTCCAATGGAAACTGCACTTTTGCTTAAAGGGCTGGGTTTCCCATCCACCACTAGGATATACTTGGTAGCTGGTGAAGCTTATGGAAATGGAAGTATGCAGCATCTCATGGAAAGTTTCCCAAATATCTTCTCACATTCGACTCTTTTAACAGAACAAGAACTCAATCCTCTCAGAAACCACCAAAACATGCTGGCCGGTCTGGACTATGTTGTTGCCCTTCAGAGTGATGTTTTTGTTTATACCTATGATGGTAATATGGCAAAGGCAGTTCAAGGTCACAGGCGCTTTGTGAACTTCAAGAAAACAATCAATCCTGACAGGTAGTTTATTTGTATAGCTATAATAAAAATTTATCTCTGGTATTTTTCTATTTAGTATCACAATTCAGTTTTTTCACACTTATGGAAGAAATCCGCAAGTAACTATCTTATTTGTTAATGCAGCAGGAATTATGTTAAACTAGTTGACAAATTCAATGAAGGAAAAATTTCTTGGGAGAAATTCAGTTCTGGAGTGAAGAAACTTCACAGGGATCGAGTTGGAGCTCCGTATATGAGGGAACCTGGTGAATCTCCAAAACTGGAGGAGAGTTTCTATGCAAATCCCTTTCCTGGATGTATTTGTGAAAGAACACACGAAAAATAGTGGTTCACCAAAAAGTTTTTTGTTACTTTGATAGTACTGGGTGAGTTCTGCAGCCAGAGACACCGTGACCTTAAAGTATTCATTACAATAGATTCAGACAAGGTTTTCAGAAAGTGGCAGGGTTGAAGCACCACCAGAAAAGTTAAGCTCATTGGTTGAAAACAAGCAAGCTTGAAGGGGCTCATACTCACAGTTCTGTGTAACCAATATAACGAAGTTCTGTAATTGCAGCTTGATTCAGGAGGGGAACTGGAGAGAAGAGAGGTATATTACTCTTCAATGACGCATCAAGAAAGTAGTTGATTTCATCAATTGGACATCTTTCCACTATATCACAATTTTGCGAGGCAGAATTTTTGAGGAGTTGATACTGAAAAATACTGTATGACTTCCAAATATCAGTCATACAAAAGTGATTTTAGATAATACCAATTTCTTCGAAGCTATTTGGTACTTATTTACATGTTGATTTACTTTATGTTAAATTCATCGTTCTTATTGAAGCAAATAAGGGTAATGAATGTGCAGTTCCAAATTTCAATGATCGCCCACCACTGATGTGAAAAGTTCCTTGCTAAGCATTTTCTGTTAATGTTTGTGGTAACTCTTGGTAATATCATACCAAGAGTTACGTTTTGGTACTGTAATTTTAACCCACAATCACAGAAGAAAATAAGGAACAACATGCAGTCCCAAGGACGGGCAATTCTGCTAGGGTAGGAATGCATATCTACAAGGAATTCCCACTGCATTGAGATTGGATGAGATGCTGTGAAATCCCAGAATAAATAGCTCATAAGCTTAAGCGATTACTTCTTTAGATGCATTTGTTGAGCCATCTGATTTCCCACTAAAGGCTATCGAAAGAATTGAATTGTAATTTAAATTTTCTTTAGGATCAAAATCAATGCTATAGGTACTGAAATTTAAGCTTACATACTGTATTCAAGACTTGAAATTGAGTATAGTTTGTGACGGAACGTGGGCGGTTTGCATTGATGTTTGTTGGTTTGACCAAGGATAGCTAAGCCAGCCGCAGACCTTTTGGAAGTAGAAAAAAGGAAAAAGAATGAAAGACATTGTGCTCTTTGGCTTGAGGCGAGATGCGGTGAGATTATTATTAGAGGTTACTGGTCACGAAATTGATATGCTTCCAAGTAACAGTCACGACTTAGCTATTATCACTGACATATGCAAAAATGTCCCTGATGTCTTTTCTTTTATCAACTCCTGGTTTAGCTAAGCCTACACTTGACCACACGATCACACCTCCAAAATCAATGAAATCATGTTGTAACACAAAGGTAAGCTATTCTAGAAATCATGGAGATTCCCTATGTCTTGACATCTGGAATACGCTGTAGTAAACCTGCAGTAATTCTCTAGAAACAAAGATTTACAGTGCAGATTTCAAACATGACTAAAAGCCAGTAATTATACCTCTAGAAGTGACCAAAGTTATGCTCATACTATGACCCGAGTCTTCTTCATGTGCCCAAGGAGATCCTTTGGGGATCTATCCGCAACAAGAAAAATTGATAATGAAACACTAATTGAGACACAATTGTAGAGTTATTATTTTGTAAGAGACCATTTAATTTACTGAATAGATTTAAAGAAAAGTCAGAATGATTGATTACACCTAATTTGTGGCTCAAAAATTTCTCTATTAATTTTTTTGAATCTTTTGCCATAAGTTACAGTGAATTTCTAGTATGCGATGGTTGAAGACATAATATGTTTCTTGCAATATTTGTGTTATTGTTATGAATCTATGTGTAGTTACTTGCAATTGCATTTTTGCAGTGAACTGTGACAAGTGCACTAGCTCAAAAGAGGAGGCTACATGTGTTATCCCAAATGCAACTTAAGAGGAGGGTCGAATTAAGTTTTTACTTTTCAAAAACTCTTTACAAAACGAGATTACTATTTGTAAAATTGTTTTGATTGAAATTATATGNGCAACTTAAGAGGAGGGTCGAATTAAGTTTTTACTTTTCAAAAACTCTTTACAAAACAAGATTACTATTTGTAAAATTGTTTTGATTGAAATTATATGTGTGTGAAATGAATGTGTAGTGAATGAGAAAGTATGCAAACAATAAGAGAATGGGGAAAGAGATGCAAACACGATTTATTGAGGTTCGGCCTCAAACCACTTTGCCTACGTCCTCTCTTCTTCCTTCCGTTGGAATTTCCTTTTTACTAACTTTATCCTCTTCAAATAGGTGAGAATGAAACCCTTACAATCTTCTTCTTCTTGTTACAAATAATGAACTCCAATTTAGCACACTTCAAGAAGAATATACAATGAACTCTCTTTCTCAAGAATATTCTCTCAATTCAGTATTCTCACAAAGCCCTAGAGAATTGAAGAGAAGAGAATAGAATGCTCACAAGAATCTACTTTTAAAGATGTAGACAAAATCACAATGAATCTGTCTTTTTATTTTTACTCTAGGGTAAAAGCTCGAAAGTTGGTTTTCAAAAGCCTCAAGGTCGTATTTATAGTTTGGGTGTATTTAATGAGAAAATAACAATCAGCAGGTTCAAATTCGTCATGTCTGAAAGCCTATCTGGACTATCGGATAGTCTTTCGAATGTAACCGTTGTAAGCATAACGACTATATACGGCATTCCGGATAGCCATCTGGACTTCCGGACACCCTTTCACCTTAGCTCTTGTTTTTCTTGATTCCTTCACAACCGGAACTCCGAATAAGGACTCCAGAATTCTGGAGTAGCCTTCGGGATGCACATCCGGAGTTTTGGATACGCTTCTTGATGCTCTTGCTTTCCTTCAATCTTTCTCTTCAACTGGACTTTCGAATAGGTCATTCAGACTTCCGCTGTAGTCTTCCAAATGATACATCCAAAATTCTGGATGCTCCTCCCGAAATATGATTCTGCTTAGGCTTTTTTTCCTTTCATTTCTTTTTCAACTTTGGCACATTCTCAACTTGATCCTACACTCATCCAATAAGTGTTTTTTTGCATGAGGATGTTTGTGATCATCAAAATCATTACTCTCAAAGCATCGGGTCAACAACATGTCTAGAGACACATTTCTTTTGATGGCTTGCATTCGGTCATGTGGTGGTCATTCGGGCCTCAAGATGCCCGCAGNCAGACTTCCGCTGTAGTCTTCCAAATGATACATCCAAAATTCTGGATGCTCCTCCCGAAATATGATTCTGCTTAGGCTTTTTTTCCTTTCCTTTCTTTTTCAACTTTGGCACATTCTCAACTTGATCCTACACTCATCCAATAAGTGTTTTTCTGCATGAGGATGTTTGTGATCATCAAAATCATTACTCTCAAAGCATCGGGTCAACAACATGTCTAGAGACACACTTCTTTTGATGGCTTGCATTCGGTCATGTGGTGGTCATTCGGGCCTCAAGATGCCCGCAAGCGTTCCCCATGGATCACCGTGGATCTCAAGTAAGCTTGTGTCTTGAATATAGATAACATTCTCATATTATTTCTCTTATAAGTGTTGAAGCAATTGCATAGACATTATAAAATTCTAAATTCTTAACATCGATTCGTAAACTCAAAAGTATTAGCACCGATCCAAAAATTTAAATTCTGAACATTGATCTAGAAACTTAAATAGTTTGAATTGCATAATCTTGGTGGATGTAGCTTTCTCTTTGCTTTTTATTCATTTTCACTTCTTTCCCTTCATATTCTACCCAGTAAATATTATTTAGTCCTTTTGCATTTTGATGGTCTTGGAGTTTCTACTTCTTGGTGGTTGATGTATTTGAAGAGAGTGATTAGTTTAGTTCTGATAAATCTGAATGTATTTGATGGTTTAGTAACCCTTTAAACCCGGATTTTTTTTATGAGTTCAATTCCTCTTGCATATGTACCTGGAAAAGTGGATAAGGTTTCTTTGGTGCTGAATTTTACAAATTAAAGCCAATGATAAATGATTAGGTCGTGGACAAAGCAGGTTATCTTGGTTTTATGGGAGTCTAATTTGTGTGGCTTGCTTATTCCTGGGGCTTTAAGACACATTCAGGAAATAGTTTTGTGCGATTTTCCCATTTGAACCAAATCTATTATATGCAATCTTCTACGAGATTGTAACGTTCTCCTTGAGATGGATGGCTTAGTGTGGTTTTGTTTCTGGGTGGTGGTTGTGTTTTGGTTGGCTCTACATTGGTGAAACATCGAGTTATGATTCAAACCTGTCCTTCTTGAGGCAACTCATATTGATCAGTGGCAAAGTGATGATGCACAAGCAATTTTTGCACTGTTTTAGAGAATGCTAATTGGTTTACAGATGAAGCTCATTATTTAGGTGTTACTCAGAATTTTTTTTTTTCTCTAACTTTCTCCTTTTTCTATTGACAATTACTTAATTTGCTCATACATTCCTTTTGCTAATGGTCATAGCCAGTAGTCCAAAAATCCTCCATGCTCAGTTGGACAAGCTTGCGTTTTATGGCCTAGGGAAAGAGTTATCATCAGATTGGTGGAAATCACTTAGCTTACCAATTAATATCTCAAGGTATGTGTTAAAGAATATTAGGGTAGTATGTGTAAATTGTTAATAGTAAGAGGATGTATGTGTAATTCTTATTATTGTGAGTTAACTATAAATACAAGTGATGTATGAGAGTTAGGTTAGGTTTTTAACCTCTCTTTCTCTCTAATATTGTCTCTAATATTGTGTCATGTTAATTCTCTCAACTTAATATGGTATTAGAGCAAGGTTATTCTAAAGACAAATATTAATCCAAATTGGTTTTGTTGCTATCGCGGTGGTGTTGCTGTCATTGGTGTAGTCGACGTTAGTGGTGTCAACTTGGTGGTGTCTGTGTTTTGCTTCATGGTGGTTCAGTCGACTGGTGCAGTCTGTCTCTTTTTTTTCCTTCGTGGTGGTGTAGTCGACCTTGGTGGAGTCTAATTTTTGCCTCGTGGTGGTGTGTGGCTGACGCTCATAGTGATCTGTGGTGGTGTTGTGGTGGTGTTCTCTTGGCACAGTCAACAGTGAAGGAATAGGATTTGGTAGAACCCTTAATCAATGAAGGAGACAACCCTGTTCAAGTGGGTCAGTTTATGGGTTTGGGTAAAGGATCCAAGTCCACGGGCATAACTATTCTTGAGCCCAGATCCAGTCCTTGATCCAAGATCCAAATCCAGTCCCTGATCCAAGATCCAGGTCCAGACCAAACTAGTCCAGGTTCTGTTCAGTCAGTTTTAGATCGGTTTCATTTGTTTTGCCTCCAATTCAGCGGGCCAGTGGGCTTCTCTGGTCCGGTTCAGTGCTCCAGTGGGCCTCTCTGGCTCGGTTCAGCACTCCAGTGGGCTTCTCTAGTCCGGTTCAGCTGTCCAACCAGCCTATTTTGTTCGGTTCAGTGGTCCAGGAAGCCCAACCAGTCCGGTTCAGTCTTCCAGCAGCCTCCTTTCCTCTGGTTCAGCATTGCAACACNTCAGCACTCCAGTGGGCTTCTCTAGTCCGGTTCAGCTGTCCAACCAGCCTATTTTGTTCGGTTCAGTGGTCCAAGAAGCCCAACCAGTCCGGTTCAGTCTTCCAGCAGCCTCCTTTCCTCTGGTTCAGCATTGCAACACTTGTTTCCTATTTGCTACAATATAATGGAACCCAAGCAAGATACCAAGTCTCTTACTCCATCTTTACCACCCCCTACTCTTATCAATGGTCCCATGACCTCTANTTCCTATTTGCTACAATATAATGGAACCCAAGCAAGATACCAAGTCTCTTACTCCATCTTTACCACCCCCTACTCTTATCAATGGTCTCATGACCTCTGTTAAACTCAATGGGACCAATTATACTTTATGGTCCCGATCCACTCAAGTCTTTATTCGAGACAAAGGATTTAAGAAATATTTGGTGGATCCTAAACTCATGGAAGATACTCTTGGATATGATCAGTGGGAATAAGAGGACGCTCAAATTATGTCTTTACTACTGAATAGCATTGAGTCTAGTACTAGTTCTGCTCTGCTCTACCTTGACACTGCCAAGGAGATATGGGATCACTTGACCACTATGTATTCTGGTACAGATAATTTTACCCAAACTTATGAGATATGCAAAGAGTACTTTTGGCTGGAACAGAGTACTCTGAGCATTGAGGATTATTAGTCTCATGTTCGGGGAGTCTGTGAAGAGATGAAGACCTACCATCCGTTTACTACTGATACAATCAGTATAGTAAGTCAGTTCATGGGGTGTCCTAGAGTACCACATTGGGAGGCAATTACTCATAATCTGCAATATCTCAAACGAGCTCTTGGACTTAGACTATTATATCGAGCTAATGAACATCTTAGAGTGGAAGGTTTCTCAGATGCTGATTGGGCTGGCTCACCTTCTGATCGGAGATCAACCACTGATTATTGTACTTTCTTAGGAGGTAACGTTGTCTCATGAAAAAATAAGAAACAATCTGTGGTAGTAAGATCCAGTGCTAAGGCTAAGTATAGGATCATGGCACATATGATGAGTGAGTTGACTTGGCTACTACACTTCCTCCAGGAAATTGGATTTCCAGTTCAACTTCCTTTACAGATGTTCTATGACAACCAAACAGCTATTCATATCGCTGTCAATTTAGTGTTTCACGAGAAAACCAAACATATTGAGGTTGATTGTCACTTTATTCGAAACATGATAGTAGTTGGGGAGATTACAACTCCATTTGTGAAATCTGAAGATCAACTTACAAATATGTTTATTAAAGCATTGAGTCGTACATGTCTTACAGTGATTTGTTTCAAGTTTGAATTATATGATATATATAGTCCAACTTGAGGGGGAGTGTTAAGAATATTAAGGTAGTATGTGTAAATTGTTAATAGTAAGAGGGTGTATGTATAATTTTTATTATTGTGAGTTAGCTATAAATACAAGTGATGTATGAAAGTTAGGTTAAGTTTTTAACCTCTCTCTTTCTCTCTAATATTTTGTTATATTAATTCTCTCAACTTAACAGTATGCAAAAAAAAAAATTTGTCATCCTCATATTAATATTGCCTATTTTTTTGGGAGGCCAAACCCAAAAATCTTTTCATTGCGGAGACCGTAATGAAAAACAAAATAGCCAACCTTTGGGTTTCTTAGGATTTTTGCAGTAAAGGAAGCGAAGTCTAAGTTGGGCATCTAAATTCCATGATGTTGATGAAGTTTTTCATTCCATTAACTAGAAGATGATGAAACAGGGGCTTTCTGACTGTATGAGTTGGGTTATGGTGTGATATAGCAAATGAAGTAAATGCAAACAATGAAACATTCAAAAGTACTAGTTTTTCTAATGTGTGAGCTTTGGTTATTTTCTTCCTTTCACATGCTTTTCATGCATTAATTTTGAGTAATGTATGTGTTTCATTGCAAGAGTCATTCTCTTTTCAAGAAGCAGAAGATATTTCTTCTGTCTGATAATTGTTTTTAACTTTGCCAATATGCTATATGTGGTGATCAAACGTTGAATAGCATTGCATCGACAAAACCATCTACCAAAACAAGGTTAGCAAACACGATGGTGTGAACCAGGTATATCATAATGACCACAATGTTCCTCTAAATTCTGTCTTGTGCACCTTTTGTTAGGATCACTTGTATTCCTAGTAGTCTATACTCTTCTTTTTTCCCACTCAAAGAACATAATAATTCTAGTAATTCGATAATGATCCTATATTACTCAGACCGGGATCATTGTTTATCTTTGACTTTGGCTGTGCCAACATACAGAGAAAAACTACATAAACAATGCTGCTATGCACCCAAACTGCTTATGTACTACTACTAAAGGTGACTGTTTTTTTTTTTTTTCTTTTTCTTGTTAGTTTTTTGCTCCTGTTGTAGTGAAAGATAGAGAAATAAATGTGTCTCCCAATGATTACTCGGGACTTGGCATCATTTGATTTCAATTAGACTTTAGCTGTAGAGATATGACCCGGCATGTTAGATTTGATTTTTTTTTGGAAGTGATCTATTATGTTTTATATTTAAGGAGTAAACGTGAATTGTACTTTTTTGTACGTGGTTGAGACTTTGGTAAATAATCTAGAACACCATGAAGAATGGTCTCAAAATACATGTTTGCCATTGATACTCTGATCATTACTCTTATTTATTATTCTGGTTCTTGTTTGGCTGCATGCTTTTCCCTAGTTGTATAGGTTAGAAAATTTACCAAATGATAATTCTTTTGTCTGTATACTTGTACTTTTCTTATCTGAGAACCAAAGCTTCAATGATGTTGCAGCACCTAATGACACTGTATGGGGATCTTTTTCTTCTAAGTATTCAGCATCTACCTTGGGGGCTGAACCTTTTTTTGGATGGGGAGGCAAGCATACAATCTGCTATCACAAAAAAGGGTTTATAAAGTACCAAATCACCAAATAAAACTAACAGCTGCATAATTTGAAGCTTGGAAAATGTGGGAAGAGGATGGTTTCTCATTTTAGGAAGTTGCTGCGAGTCCTATTTACTGACTCTCAGTACTTTATCTGCCTGAAACTCATTTTTTAAATGCATGTGTATGACTGTGTATTGTGTAGTAAGCTTTACATTTATGCCTTGTAGAGTTTCCCAGGTAGATCTGCTCCAATAAAAGAAGAAATTGTGTGCAATTATCTCCTCGAGGCTGCCCGAGAGGGATGTGTGATCTCGTCAAAATGGAAATATCTCTTTTGCCTGATGACGTGCTGTTGTGAAGTGGGTGAAGATTGGGTTTCAATCTGAGAGGGAAATGATATGCCTGCGGAACAAGTCAGTTTTTGCAGTTGAATGTACATCTAGTCATCAATGCCTTATTCTAGTTGGTTGGAGTTGGACTATGCTGATCACTGATCAGGTTCTGCCAATTCGCTCTACACTGATCACATCACGGCCAGTTTGCTCCACATCCATGCTTGTTTTCCTTCCAGTCTTGCTTGTGCATGTTACCCTTAAAAATACTGCATCAGCAAGATTAATCTACAGTGTTTTCTTAAGCTATGATCAGTGAATCTCATATTATTAAGTGGTTTAACATTGCAACAGTTTCAAATTTGATGTTTTTCGAAGAGACATCCAAATTAAATTGAATCTGGAATTTAGGAGAGGGAGGTAATGAAAGGGTGGCATAGGACGGCCAAATATGCTTAATATTGTGTCCTGATAGAAATGTGTTTCATATTATTTCCTGGTAGAAATGTGCATGCATGACCCAACCATTTTTCCTCTTCTGAGAAAGCATGCATGAACCATCCATTTTTCCTCTTCTGAGAAAGCATGTGCCAACATTGAAAGTCAAAATTCATAAATATTAGTTATGATTGACCTCAAACTATACAGATTTGTCTCCTGCCTTCTCGACTTTTGTAAAGATTGAAAAAATAGTCAGCATGAGCTAAATTTTTGGATTTGTAACTGTTGCTAGGTATTGCCCGACTTCAACCATACCAGGATTGTCAGAAAAAAAATATCAGATTCGTTATTATTAGCATGATTCATTATTTTCGGTGAAACTAGGTCATATTATCAATTTGGGCATGTCCAATACGAATACACATTACACAATTGGACTTAACTCAGATGATCACCCTTTGATTGTTCCAGGAATTTCTCAACTTGGGTCAATTCTTTGCATTTGCCAAGGGTTTATTCTTCTTGTATCCTTTTAGAGTTTTTTTATTTTGCCCCTTTTTGAGAGTACATTTACATTAAATCCGTTTCTAGATGGAATTGTTGCTGATAGATATGGGAAATTGCAGAGGAGAATGCAGGTATATATGAATTTTGGCTACCCAACTACATTAATATATTTCTTGCACAAGTTTGTGTTTTAACTTACTTTTAAAAAAAAAAATTGTGTATTCATTTGTATATTGAAGGTCTAGAGTGCAGAACTACATCGAAATTCTATATATGCTAAAGATTAGAAATTCGATTCTTGACAGCAATGGGGCTAAAACCCCATTGCAACAGCACCAAAAGATCTCAACTGGGCTAGTGCCATGGGGCAAAAGCAGAAGGAGAAGAGGAATTTGACAGGGCATATGCCAGGGCCAATTGCAGGCAACTCCATTTACTTGTGCATCTACAACCAAGCATAATGTTACTATAATGTGGATGGTGAGTTCAATTTGTAGTTGTTGGAGTGAGTTCGTATGAACTTTCTATCTATCAATTGGTCTTTGGTCCAATAATATTCCTTATTTTATGGAAATTTTATTTTTTTAATGTCAACAGTTCAAGTCGCCTTTCTCCCTCCTCCTCCAAAAAAAAAAAATGAACTTTATATGATCTAAACTACGCAGCAGATGGTACTTTTTGGGGTTTAAACTTGTTTTAAATATATTCCTGATGATTTTGTTTGTTTCCCATTCTTTTCTGTACTTAAAATTCCTAAGTATCCCCTGTTATCTTCAACTAGGGAGTTCGCGTGGATGGTAAGTGTGATGTATTTTGTTCTTAACCACACGTTTGTGGGCCATTGGGTTGGCCTGAACTTTATTTTTCACTAGGAATATAACTAGTTTCTCAGTTTGTAATTATGTTGATTCGCCAACCGTCAACATAATTAAGCTCCCAAAACCTGTTGTGTGAACCACAAAAAGTCAGCAGCATGTATGATGAGAAGCTCATAATGATGTGGTAAAGCAACGACCAGGTCATTTAGAACTTTCTGCGGGCCCACTATAATTAATTTTTTCTCTAATTCGGTTAAAGATAAATTATTTATATTGAGATTAGAAAATATATGAGAGATAAATGTCACATAGTTTGGTCTCAAAAGAATTGTCAAGTTTGAAATTTTTAGATTTATAACTTATCAATATTTTCATTAAGTTACCTTTAGAGTTGGTGTTTAGAAAGTGGTCTACTTTGCATACCGAAAGATTTTTAAATTCTCATTTTGTATTCTTAAAAAATTAAATTTTTCACATTACACCTTTAATGTATCAAAAATTTTATAAGGTGACATTTTTGTTAGTTTCCGTTTTTTTCCGTCAAAAGTTAACTAATTGATATTGACGAGAAAATTAATAGAATGATCACATTGTAACATTTTTGATATATTGAGTGTGTAATATGAAAATTTTAATTTTTGATGGTAAAAAATAAAAATCTTAAAATGTTTAGGAGTATAAAGTACAATTCGGCCATAAAAATTGACCGATTGAAAATCTCAAAATCAACACTCGCCTAATCACAACGAAAGTTATGTAGACTTTAGCAATTGCAGAGAATATGACAAAAATAACAGTGTTGCCGGTCCTTTTTGGTACAATGCCACTAATACAACATAGTTTTCCCATAGAAAAGTCTACAACTTTTAATACCATGTATTCTATGCCAATTTTCTTCACATTGAGGAATAATCAACGACAAAGAGTTTTGATGTAATAATAAAAGTATAATATAAAGAGTGAATGACACTTTACACCTTGAAAGATATTTAAATTTTTAATTGACAATCTGGAAGTGTATAAATTTTTAGGGTAAATTACATTCACACCCTAACATTTGACTAAATGTTTCTAAAATGACATGGCGACCCATTATCGGTGTCAACAGGTGACCGGCTTTAAGTGATAAAATGACTTTTTTAACCAGTTAATTTAATTTAAAATATATGCATAATAAATAAAATATATTACCAAAAATTTAAATAAAAGAGTTAAAAAAAAATCTCTCTCTCTTCTCTCACATCTCACTCATCCCTTACCCACCCGACCACCACCACCACCGCTCCTCCTCCTCCTTTCTCTCTCTCTGGAAACCTGCAACTCCTCATTTCTCTTTCTCTCTCTCACAGATTCCCAGGGCCCTGCCCCCTTTCCACAACATGCCACCACACTCGGCCCTTTCAGCCCAATTGCCACCNTCTTTCTCTCTCTCACAGATTCCCAGGGCCCTGCCCCCTTTCCACAACATGCCACCACACTCAGCCCTTTCAGCCCAATTGCCACCACCACCACCACTCCAAACCCACCACTCTCATCCTCTTTCTCTCTCTCAAGCCCCAGCCCCTTCTCACAAGAAACCCCAGATTTGAGGATTATTACCCTTTCTCTCTCTCTAGATTTGTAACCCCCACATGAAAATGAGTAAGTCTTCAAACCCTCGAATCAATTTCATCAAATTGAAGCACAAATTTCCACCNGCCATGGGGCAAAAGCAGAAGGAGAAGAGGAATTTGACAGGGCATATGCCAGGGCCAGCCGTGGTAACGACGAAATGGGAGACGTGGGCNAAGGTCTAGAGTGCAGAACTACATCGAAATTCTATATATGCTAAAGATTAGAAATTCGATTCTTGACAGCAATGGGGCTAAAACCCCATTGCAACAGCACCAAAAGATCTCAACTGGGCTAGTGCCATGGGGCAAAAGCAGAAGGAGAAGAGGAATTTGACAGGGCATATGCCAGGGCCAATTGCAGGCAACTCCATTTACTTGTGCATCTACAACCAAGCATAATGTTACTATAATGTGGATGGTGAGTTCAATTTGTAGTTGTTGGAGTGAGTTCGTATGAACTTTCTATCTACCAATTGGTCTTTGGTCCAATAATATTCCTTATTTTATGGAAATTTTATTTTTTTAATGTCAACAGTTCAAGTCCCCTTTCTCCCTCCCCCTCCAAAAATAAAAAATGAACTTTCTATGAGNTGGATGGTGAGTTCAATTTGTAGTTGTTGGAGTGAGTTCGTATGAACTTTCTATCTATCAATTGGTCTTTGGTCCAATAATATTCCTTATTTTATGGAAATTTTATTTTTTTAATGTCAACAGTTCAAGTCGCCTTTCTCCCTCCTCCTCCAAAAAAAAAAAATGAACTTTATATGATCTAAACTACGCAGCAGATGGTACTTTTTGGGGTTTAAACTTGTTTTAAATATATTCCTGATGATTTTGTTTGTTTCCCATTCTTTTCTGTACTTAAAATTCCTAAGTATCCCCTGTTATCTTCAACTAGGGAGTTCGCGTGGATGGTAAGTGTGATGTATTTTGTTCTTAACCACACGTTTGTGGGCCATTGGGTTGGCCTGAACTTTATTTTTCACTAGGAATATAACTAGTTTCTCAGTTTGTAATTATGTTGATTCGCCAACCGTCAACATAATTAAGCTCCCAAAACCTGTTGTGTGAACCACAAAAAGTCAGCAGCATGTATGATGAGAAGCTCATAATGATGTGGTAAAGCAACGACCAGGTCATTTAGAACTTTCTGCGGGCCCACTATAATTAATTTTTTCTCTAATTCGGTTAAAGATAAATTATTTATATTGAGATTAGAAAATATATGAGAGATAAATGTCACATAGTTTGGTCTCAAAAGAATTGTCAAGTTTGAAATTTTTAGATTTATAACTTATCAATATTTTCATTAAGTTACCTTTAGAGTTGGTGTTTAGAAAGTGGTCTACTTTGCATACCGAAAGATTTTTAAATTCTCATTTTGTATTCTTAAAAAATTAAATTTTTCACATTACACCTTTAATGTATCAAAAATTTTATAAGGTGACATTTTTGTTAGTTTCCGTTTTTTTCCGTCAAAAGTTAACTAATTGATATTGACGAGAAAATTAATAAAATGATCACATTGTAACATTTTTGATATATTGAGTGTGTAATATGAAAATTTTAATTTTTGATGGTAAAAAATAAAAATCTTAAAATGTTTAGGAGTATAAAGTACAATTCGGCCATAAAAATTGACCGATTGAAAATCTCAAAATCAACACTCGCCTAATCACAACGAAAGTTATGTAGACTTTAGCAATTGCAGAGAATATGACAAAAATAACAGTGTTGCCGGTCCTTTTTGGTACAATGCCACTAATACAACATAGTTTTCCCATAGAAAAGTCTACAACTTTTAATACCATGTATTCTATGCCAATTTTCTTCACATTGAGGAATAATCAACGACAAAGAGTTTTGATGTAATAATAAAAGTATAATATAAAGAGTGAATGACACTTTACACCTTGAAAGATATTTAAATTTTTAATTGACAATCTGGAAGTGTATAAATTTTTAGGGTAAATTACATTCACACCCTAACATTTGACTAAATGTTTCTAAAATGACATGGCGACCCATTATCGGTGTCAACAGGTGACCGGCTTTAAGTGATAAAATGACTTTTTTAACCAGTTAATTTAATTTAAAATATATGCATAATAAATAAAATATATTACCAAAAATTTAAATAAAAGAGTTAAAAAAAAATCTCTCTCTCTTCTCTCACATCTCACTCATCCCTTACCCACCCGACCACCACCACCACCGCTCCTCCTCCTCCTTTCTCTCTCTCTGGAAACCTGCAACTCCTCATTTCTCTTTCTCTCTCTCACAGATTCCCAGGGCCCTGCCCCCTTTCCACAACATGCCACCACACTCGGCCCTTTCAGCCCAATTGCCACCACCACCACCACTCCAAACCCACCACTCTCATCCTCTTTCTCTCTCTCAAGCCCCAACCCCTTCTCACAAGAAACCCCAAATTTGAGGATTATTACCCTTTCTCTCTCTCTAGATTTGTAACCCCCACATGAAAATGAGTAAGTCGTCAAACACTCGAATCAATTTCATCAAATTGAAGCACAAATTTCCACTGTCATTAGCAATGCTGGTGCACAATTGGATTTTTGTGATTTATCTCTCAGATTGAATTTATGATTGATTTTTATGGTTAATTTTTTAAAATTTTTGTGGTTCAAATTTTGGTGGTGAGTTTTGGATGATAGAGGTTGTGGTGTTGATGGTTGGTTTTGTGTGGTGGAGCTGTTGGGTTTTCAACGGTGGCATTAATGGTGTCGACGATGACATTTTAGATGGTGGAGACGGTGGTGTCATTCACAATCGTCATATCTTCTCTCTCTCTGTCTCTATAGAAGGCAGTGGATGAGGAAGTTGGTGGGTGATAGCAGTTCAAGAAGCCCATGGTAGTAGGTGATGCTGCCAGATGATTGGCTTAATTCATAGTGTCTTGATTTAGAAATAAAATTACTCTAGTTAATGGTGTCTTAATTGGGAA